TAAATGGTGTAAGTTGGCAAAAGCCAGTGGAGACATTTGTATCCCTTCAGAGAGTTTGTTGGTCACTGACCTACGATGCATTGCGCCATTTCAGTCCCTATTGTTAGACAGGGCACTGGTGATGACCAGTCCTAAGTGATCAATTTGCATTTAGTGAGTAGCGCCTCCCAATAATTCTCAAATTATCTTTATAGATGTTCAGGTCTGCAAAAATTGTTTTCAACTTCAAATAAATTTAAAATATTTGTTGTATGAACTTTGGTAAGGGAATTCTAAAATATGCTACCTCCTGTAGATATGTAATTGAGTAGATAAAAAAAAGCGTACTATGCAGTGGTCTTTAAATTGCAGAAGCTTCAATTCAACATTGTGTGCTGGTGGCGAACTATGATTCTTCAATCACCGCTTATTCAACCCCTGGTGTAAAACTACCGTTTCAATTATCTGAAATCTTTTCCTTCCCACTGCAAGAAATACCTTAACATCCATCTACAGAAAACTATCATCAGACCTTCCTACTTAGTGTTGCCAAGAATAACATTGGTATTGACAAATATATAAAATCAGCGTAAGACCTCGTACACAAGTGCATTGGCTCAAGTTTGCATTGTTCACAGTAGCATACAAAGAACAAGTGGATAGGGAAAGAATGACATCAAAATAGACGGTGGTTAGTGAGAGGAAAAGAGATTCGAAAATAAACGTTAGTGAAATTATTCAGGCTTAAGAAAGCATCAAAGAGTGAATGCATCTGTGCAGTTATGACCTATTTTCAGCCATTTCGCCAAGTCTCCAAAAAAATGATTCCTGAGACCTCGAAGACTCCAGCCAGGTAGTCTGCACCTCTCTACACACTTCTGATCAGTAATCAGAGACTTCTTGGACTTTTTGGCCTCTTGGTTTGGCCATCCTCGGCCTTTTCCCAACCTGATCCAACTTGTCCTAGCATTTCACACCGAGGAAGGCGGCAGCTCGGGATGCGTAACACTTGTCTAAGTCACTTCAATCGCCGAAGGTTTACAACCTCATCGACCGACTTGACTTCCTTGTCTAATATCTTTTGTCTAACCTCTACGTTGCTCACATGGCGATTCCATCATAGGTGAGCAATGCTGCGGAGACACTTCTGGTCAAAACCTTGTGGTTTCTTCATATCTTCTGCTTTTAAGAGCTATGTCTCACATCTGTATAACAGATCACAGTGGACTGCAGTGCAGTATACTCGTCTTTTAATACGTAGGTAGTCGAATGTCTCGCCAGTCGGTGCGAAAGATGACGCAAGTTGGCAAGTGCCAAACGGGCCTTGAGTGTCCAACCTGAGACTTCGTCAGCAAGCAGCCCGTTCGGGCTGATGCAACTCCCCAAGTAAGTGAAGTGGTCGATATATCCCACCACTTCACTCCCAATCATTAAACTGGGAGTGGTTGGAGACCAGTCCTGGAGCATTATCTTGCATTTAACAGGTGCGAGACTCATGCGAATTTTACTCAGATTTCTGCTCAACACGTTAAAGAGACCGTGCATTTTTTTCAGCGTCTTCACCCAACAGGGCAATGCTGTCTGCATACTCTAAGCCAACCAGATGACCAGCAAGTAGATCAATCCCTATGAAGTCAAAAGTATTTAGTACTATGTCCATTAGCACATCTGTGGCAAAATCAAATATGAACAGTGACAGCGAGCGTCCCTGGTAAACATCACTAGTTGTCGTCAGTTCAGATGACAACTTTCCATAAGCTCTTAACCGTCTGTGTGGATTCGAGCAAAGAACTTTGATAAGCCTATTATTCTTCCTCGGTAATCCCTTCACAGTCAGACACTGACATAACACCTTACGTTTGACTGAGTCAACTCCCGCCTTCAGATCACGAAATATGTCAAGTCTTTGGAGCCAGTAAGTGTCCTTGTGTTTTATAATCTGTCTAAGGGTGAAGATCTGACCGACACACCATCCGGTCTGAAACCCACCTGATTTTTTTGAGTAAGCTATTCTCAAGCTCCGGTTAGGTGACAGATAATTGTGGACTGCAGACTCTTGGATATTATGTTAGACAAACCGGTTCCCCAATGGTTGTCACAAGAAGACTCGTCTCCTCTCTTATAAACTGGAATGATCATTGAAGTAGACCAGTCTGACGGGATTTCCTGTGGTTCACATACGCTACCTAGTACCGTTCCTACTCTACTCAGTAATTCATTACCTTTATCCTGAAAATCTCCTGATGACAGATTGTCATGTGCTACTGCTCTGCGCCGTTTCAGGTGCGAAACAAGCGTCTTAACTTCGTGGAAAGTTGAAGGACCAACGTATACGTGCTATTCATATTTCGGCTGGATGTTGGGTAGCTGTGGCGTCGCCAAGGGTCAGCTGAACTGTGTTTCATAGTGTTCCACCTAATGTTCTAGCCGTCTGTCCTGGGAAGTTATCAGCATCCTATCCTTTCCGATGATAATTTCACTAACAATCGTCTTCATCTTGCCGGTATCCTCAATAAGCGTAAATGGTTGCCGAATACTACTTAATGCTGATGCCTTCTTTTCGTTATCTTTCGCCACCCACCACTGCTAGCGAAGACTCTTAGTCAATATACTTTGAAGTTGCTTTCACTCCATTGTGGTCAAAGCCAGTTGGAATGAGTTTTCTCGCATCAAACAATTTGTTTGACGTTGCAAAAATCCGTTAACGTGTGCTAACCTTTGGATATAGGTTACAAATTGTCTTCACTGCTGTTTCTACAGCAGACTCAATATCATCCCACGTTTCTTGAGGATGAGGATTGCTATCACGTTCAAGTTAATGCTTAGCTATCTCTTCCTTAAATAAGTACTTGGTGTTGCCATCTTCCAACCGAGAAAACTCAGTCCCAACTGCTGAGCTGTGGCAACTTGGACCGTTACTCAGAAATGCCTGGTCCTATGTGTTGATATTGATGACGAGTCCAAACTGCCGTCTATATTCTGTGGACAGTCAGCGGGAGACAAACATTTGCCTACACTACTCATAGGTCAACGGTGAGAGTGAAGTGGTGGGATATATCGACCACTTCACTTACTTGGGGAGTTGCATCAGCCCGAACGGGCTGCTTGCTGACGAAGTCTCAGGTTGGACACTCAAGGCCCGTTTGGCACTTGCCAACTTGCGTCATCTTTCGCACCGACTGGCGAGACATTCGACTACCTACGTATTAAAAGACGAGTATACTGCACTGCAGTCCACTGTGATCTGTTATACAGATGTGAGACATAGCTGTTAAAAGCAGAAGAGAGGAGATGTTTTCATAACATTGCTAGCAGTTTTGGTGAAATCACCATGTAAGCAATGTCGAGGTCTGGCGTAGGATGCTAGGCAAGAAAGGCAAGTCGATTAACAAGGTTGTGGATCCTCATCAGGTTAAGTGTCTTGGACATTTTACTGAGCACACCGAGCAATCCCCTCCTCGCCGTGCTATTCTAAGGGAAGTTAGATTAAGTTGTAAGAACGTTCAGGATGGCCACACCAAGACCTGACACAAGTCAACGAAGTCTCGAATGTTGGTCTGAGTCGTGTGAGGAAATGTAGACTGCCTTGTTGACATTCCCGAGACGGAGGGAATCAGTGGTTGAGGAATCCTGGAGACGTGGCTGGAAATGGGTCACAGTGGCGTAGATGTATTCACTTCTTGACATCTAAAGCTTGAGTATTTGCACAAAACCTTATCTTCAGATTGTTTATTCTCTCACTCTAATTTGTCTTATTTTACATCACTTTCCATCCATCTGCTCTTTTTGTACTACTGTGAATTGTGGTAATTTGAGCCGATGCACTTGTGTGCGAGGTTGTACATTAATTTTGTCAGTCACTCAGTCAGTGGGTTAGTGGCAGACTTTCAGCCATTGGCCTTGGTCGAGACAGCTAGAACTTTTTGTGTCTTTCACCAAATGTACTGTTCAGATGCGGAAACATCAGTTAATGGTTGCTTTATCATTTTTCTTAACCATGGAATCGAACCTAAGTAAACAACTGAAGGCAGATCTTTAGCTGTAGCACATATCTTAACGAACACCACAAAGTGTACGACCAACTTGACGGTGGCTAGCGAGGAAATCCAGAATGTGCGTTTCGTTTTATCTAGAACTTTTCAGTTTGATGTACGTGCCCTCAGTGAGTAGTGGTGTTCCCACTGAGGCTCGAACGCTGCACCCACAGCTTCAAACATTAAAGCGCTATCCACTAAGCCACTGAAGGACAAGGGCCACCACCGGTGTATTAGATACCTGTTGATACCGTTGATACCTGTAATTTCCCATTGTTGTGCTGGATCGAATTGATCTACCTCTGTGTTAGCTTATGGGCTCCTCTGCGGATGCTTCAATATTGCCTGAATATTCATTATGTTGTATTTAACTTGATGATGGTTATTAGTGGGATCCATAACGCTCGTTTGTTTCTATTCAGGACTTACTTTGGTGCAAGTAAATTCAGCTGACGAGTCAGAAGTGGAATAAAGTGCTCGTCCTGGACACCACTGCTATTCACCACCAAATTAATTATAACAATAAATATCCAGGTAATATCGGGGTGTTTGCATAGGAGCCCATACGTCAACACAGGTCGATCAGTTCGATCCAGCACAGTAGCGGGAAATTACTAGTATGAATAAGTAATCCTCAAGTGTAGTTAGCAATTTTGTTATTGGTGTCCCCATATTGACTGTTTATCCCCTCTTTCCTTACTTTTATCCCAATTTTCTGATATATTTTCTCACCGTTACATTGGTACCTCATTCACTCTGCCTTTCCAAAGCAATTAATGTAGTACTCATATGAGAACTTAATTCTCTTATCTCACCGACAGAAATATTCCACTGAAGTTCTGGTGCTCATGTGTTTCTCAGCGTTTTCAAGTGTTGTCTTTGTTTCGTCTGATACTCATGTGCCCCCTTCTCTTTATAGACCACTCTATTCTTACGAAGGCTCTTTTATTTTTGCTTTTAGTGCGTATCCTTTCAACTGAAGTTGAAATGAAGAGAGTTAGGGAATCGAACGACGTGAACCCTCCCCCCAAAATCCCGAAAACAAGGGAATCTCTCAATACGGGAGATGAAAAAGTTTGTGATTGGCAGGTAAGCCAAAAACTGTTGTCCGATTTCTAGCGTTTAGTAGACATCTTACTCTCCTACCTTTGTGTTTGTTCGGAAATCTCTGGTAAATATTAGTGCTTTAGAAACAATGCTTGTATATTTAAGCTTACAAAGTAAATGTTTTTGTCACCAACATTTGCTTATTTTGTATATTTTCCCTAGACCGAAGTAATTGTGGAATGTATATTGCATCCTCCACGTGTGAAATGTTGTTTCAAGACCAATCTGTACCGAATTCCAGTTTAAGAACTAGGAGTGAAGTATTCGAATGTGTTAACCTTTAGGTTTTGATGAAATCTCATTCCATTTGACATTTTCCAGCTTCCAACATTTTGACTTCAGGGAGATATCCGACTATTAAAAAAACGAGCATAATGTTCAGCGGTTCGCTATTATATGTCACACGATTGAGACATAAAAGTTGACAGTAGATGTGGAGAGTTTACAAGTTTTTTATCATATATATCTTCGTAGCAGTATCCACTTGTGGTGGAATCACCACGTGAAGATTTTTGAGGTTAGGCGCAGAGTACTGAGCGAAGAAGTCAAGGTAGTAAATAAATTTGTCAACCTTCAGACCACATTGCTATTAGTTATTGCTGGAGTGGATTGGTGGAAGACTGCCGCTCCTTCTGGAGTGTGTGTTTCGATAGCGACTACGCGTTAATCCGAGTGCGTATCTGCCTGCGTCTCAATGGACGTGAGAAAAATTTGGCAACAAAACCACTACGAGTGCTGCTGGACAACGAAAACACCAGTGCTGTGTTCAGTGAGAAGTTGGCTAGGCAGTTATTGGAACAGAAGACTATCACTCATCCAGAAGAAGCTTGGTGCCATCTTCAGTAGCCGACTCCAAAATAGTGGCTAAAAAGAGCCAGTGGATATCAGCAGCCTCTTCTGAACTAATGGATGCACGTGAACGCCTCCCTGCAGGCTCTGAGTACAATGAAGAGCGAGCGCAACTTAAAAATAGACTGATGAAAAGTCTACGCAACGATCGCGAACAGTGGTGGGCAGCGAAGGCTAAAGAGATAGAAAAGGCAGAGGCGATCGGTAATAGTAGACAGTTATTTAGACTTATTAAGGAGACTAGGGGGAAAAGATCAACCACAGTTAGTGAGGCTATAGCGGAGAAGGACGGATCTGCGATTCACTCGCAGGGGAGACGACTGGAACGATGGGCATAACACTTCGAAGAACAATTTAACTGGCCTCCAGCCACGGTTGCGTTGCTTGCTGTCCAGTCGGATCCTGAATGGAACATTGAGACAGGCTCACGAACACTTGCAGAAGTCGAGAAAGTAGTAGGTAACCTGAAACGAGGAAGGGCAGCAGGACCAGACGAACTAACTATTGAGGTATACAAGAATGGTGGTAGAGTGCTCTTAGTCAGGTTAACTGAAGTGTTAACTAGTGTTTGGGAATCAAATACGATCCCTCTGACTGTTTTAGATCACTGATTATCCTAGTCTTCAAGAAAGGCGAAAAGTCCTCTTGTGATAACCACAGAGGAATCAGCCTGACGAACATAGTGTCTAGGATTCCAAATTCTATAATTCTCCGACGCCTGAGTGGAGGTCGGGAACAGCAAGCCCGAGAAAACCAGGCAGGCAGGCTTTAGACCCGGCCGTAGGTGTATTGACCAAATATTCACCCTGCACCAGGTTCTCCAACACAGGCATGCTTACCGATACCCGACAGTAGTTGTATTCCTCGACCTGATGGTGGCAGCATTTGACTCCGTTGATCCAGAAGTCTTATGCCAATGTCTCTCACTGAAATGTGTGGCGAGTAAGTATATCACCTTACTGAAGGCTCTCTACTCGAACACTTGTGGGCGTGTTAGAACCTATGGTGAGATATTCAGGGAGCTGTACTCGTCAGGTGGTGTCCGTCAAGGGTGCCCACTATCTCCATTCTTATTCAATTTCATCATAAATATTCGTATGGAGGTCTCCCTCTCGTCGCCTGACTACACAGAGGTTGACCCAATCCCAGGAGAATTTTCGTTGGACCTAGAATATACGGATGACATAGTCCTGTTAAGTGAAGACTCTGGCAAGATGCAAAGTCTTCTGAACACTTTGAGTGTCGATTTGAGAATGTTTTGGATGCGTTCCTCATCACCCGAGTACAAATTGTTGCTCCAGGATTGGTCTTCAACGGTGCCACGGCTAACAATAGAGAGTGAAGTGGTTGAGCGTGTCGACCACTTCACTTACCTGGGAAGTAGAATCAGCCCTGGTGGCTCAGTGGCCGGTGAAATCTACACAGATACAAAAGGCTCGGCTGGCTTTTGCCAATATACGCCACCTGTGGCGCCGCCGTGATATCTGATTGTCTATTAAGGGTCGTGTATACTGCACAACAGTCCGGTCTGTTCTGCTGTATGGCTGTGAAACATGACCATTCAAGGTGGAACACATGAGAAGGCTTCAGGTGTTTGACCACCGTTGCGTTCGAAGTATAGGCCGTATTCCGTGGTGTCACCATGTGAGTAACGCAGAAGTCAGGTGTAGAGTTTCAGGGAGAAGAGGTAAATCAGTTGACATAGTTGTAAACCTTCATCGACTGAGATGGTTGGGACACGTGTTACGTATGCCTAGTCGCCAACTGCCTTGTCACATAATGTTGGCCGAGGTAGAGTTAGGCTGGAAAGATGCCCGAGGTGGTCAGACTAAAACATAGCGTCGATGTATGAAGTTTCTCACTGTTGGCTTGAGCCATATGGGGCGATGCAGAATAGCCGGTTGGGGTCCGCGGGACAAGAGGAACCAGTGGTTGGAGACTCTAGGTGATATGGCTGAGAACTGATGTCAGTGGCGTAGATGTGTACACACATTATCCTCATCTTAACGACTCTATACCGAATCTCAACATTTTCTCATTCTTCCTTTCTCTCTTTTCGTACTTTATATTTCTTCCGACTGCATTTTCTTGTCTTCGTCTTGCTCCTCACTGCCTTTTACTTGATGTACTGATATGAGGTGTGGCAACTCGGACCGTTACGCAGTAATGCCTGGTCCTATGTTGATGATGATGAGCAAATCAGGTGACTTATACATTTGTTGCATATGCCAACTCACCGCCTATCTCAACGCATGATGTTAACCGAAGTGGGTTTATGTCGAAAGACGGCTAGGGGTGTTGGGACTAAAGTGTGGCATTATTCGATGAAGTCTTTGTTTATTGGTCCAAGCTATGTAGACACTTGTAAACCATCTTATTCGGATCCTCGAGATGATACAAATTAGTCGTTGAAGACTTTATGACGTGGCTGAAAATTGGTCACATTGACATAAATGTAGACACTTTATCATTTTCAAAATTTTTAATATTCTCCATAATCTTTATCCATACATTCTATCTTTTGCCATATACTCCTGTCAACTTTTATTTCATTCCTTTAATTATCCACCTTTTACGGCATAATGCTGTGATTTACGACAACTTGAACGAGTGCATGTGTGTCAAGTTTTATTTTGAATTCTGTTTGTTTATAACTGTTCAGTCGCCGTTTATGAGTCTATGGAGCGTCAAAATTACTGAGTTTCAGCCTTATTGAAAACTCTCTTCTTCTGATTGCATGTAGTTTATTGAAATTTTAAAATAAAAGAAATCCACTCAATCTTTCGTCCCCTATAAGCTTTTGGTGAGGAATGCTATTTTGAAAGTGCTGTTAAGGGAGTGAATTTTGTTCTTATTGTTTTCGTCAGTCCTAAGCTTACATCGTACCAATTTTCTCTTTATTTCAAGCTGACAGTTTTCTGTCAAATTGATTCTAGTTGTAAGCATTTGATAAGAAACCACGAGATAAGATGGATCCCTGCTACTCTACCAAACATGCTGTTCTCTCTGTATTTGAGTTTTGAGTGTAACGACTAAGAATCCTTGACCATTTAGTCCACCAAGTCAACCGAATTCTTCAGAAATATTAGTTACCATCTGTCGACCTTCTTCAACAGTGAATGATTTATCTATGTTCACTGCTGGGCTTACACTGGGTGTCCCTAGATATAACAATATATCTCGATTTTGAAAATTAGTTTACGTTGATAAAAATGTAACAGAATCCTTATGATCCTGTTCATTGTAACATAGGCACCCAGGTTTTTTCAGGTCCTCTAATTCGGACCTGTCTGTTAAGCACTTACATATACCAGAAGTGTTGTGATTCACTTCAACTCACTTGGTGTATATGATGATATGGCGAAATTCACCCTTGAGTTTCTAGAGATTCCTTGGCTAGTTCTTATGTCCCTGAAGGTATTAGTATTGTGAAAGCGAACTGTCTGACTGGTTTTCAGTCGATAGTCATCCATGTAAAAAAGCAATAAAAGAAATTGTAACTGGCCTTCAGACAAAGGTAAAAAAAAGTTAAATTCTAGCTCCTTCTGAACTATTAGTTGCATGTGATCGCATTATTATAGACTTCGGACGCAAAGTGGAGCAGAAACACCCTAAATGTAGATTACCAAGGATTCACGTTGTGATCTTGGGGTGGTGGGGAGTGAAGGCTAAAGAGATTGAAAATTCATTAGCAGTGAACATCAATCGAAATTTATTTGAACTTAAAAGAACTGAAATAGTGAATCTGCTCATTAGTGAAACCGTAGCAGGCAAAGACAGACCTTGGGTGATGAAAGTTAATCGACAGGAAGCCTTGCACCTAGGTTTCGTAGTTGTTGAGACTCATCGGTATGGTGTTTCTGCAACCATGAGGAAAATCATGTTCCTTCGGTGATTGGAATCTGTGTCGCTCAGTGATAAAGTGAGAGACTTAACCACCGAGTTATTTAGGCCACGCCTGACTTCTTTCAGGGCTGGATTATGTGTGCCAATCGGTTATCAGTAGGAAACAGGTTTAGCTCAATAGTACTTCATGCTTAGCATTGAACGAAATGTGTCGATCAAGGTCGTTATCCTATTCACAGAAAAAGCAAATTTAACAATGGGTGAGAAACTCCTATCTTGCAGCCACCCTTCAGTTATCCGCTGTTCAGGCGTGTTCTAAATGAAGCATGGGTGTGAAAGTTGAGAAGATTGAAGAAGAGAGAAATCAGTTGAGGTTTTGGATCTTTTTAACCGTTATGCCGAATTTCATTATTTCTTCATTCCTTATTTTTCCATTTTTCATTTTTTCGCCTAGTACCTTGCTGTGCTGATTTGAGGTGTGGCAACTTAAGCCGTTATACAGTAGTGCCATGTCCTATGTTAACATTGACTTTCTCGCTGAAGTAATCTAAAACAAGGAACGGCAGCAGGTCTGAATAGCCTTGCACAAGAGGTATTTAAAGGTGACTGAAGATTATTAGTTAGGTTAACTGAAGTGTTGACCAACCTATGAAAAATCGGACATGATTCCCTCTGATCCATTCTAATAACTAGTTTTCCCAGTCTTCAAGGTGGTAAAAAGAACCGTTCGCAATAGCCGCAGGGGAATCAGTCTGATGAACAGTGTCTAAGACCTTACGTTCTTAATCGTTAGACTCCTAAGTGGATCTCGGAAAGATCAAACCCAAGAAAAACAAGAAAGTTCCTTATGACAATCTCTCACTGAAAGGCGTGCTAGGTAATTACATCACCTTGTTCAAAACGCTTTACTCAAACGGCGGTGGGCGCGTTAGATAGAGCCTATGGTGCGTTATCAGGTGAATTGTATACGTTGATTAGTGTCTATCAAGGATGTCCACTTCATTTTTTATTTAGTTCTATGGTAGACATGCTTACTAAGGTCTCACTATTGTCACTTGAATCCACAGGGACTGACCATACCACAGGAGGACTGCGTAGTAGACCCGAAGTATGGATATAACGTAATCCTGCCAGGTGAAGATGCTGACAAAATGCAGTCTGCAGGACAGCTTGAGGGACGATTTGAGAATATTCGGGATGTATATCTTATCACTGAAGTGCAAATGCTTCTCCAGGACTGCTCTGCGTTGGCACCTGGCTTAATTATATGGAGTGAAATGATTGAGCACGTTGGCCGCTTCGTTTACCTGGGAAGTTGGGTCACTGACCAACCAGATCTCCGTATAGATACAGACATCTCACTTGGCTCTCGCCAACTTATACCATATATAGTGCCAATGGATACCCGTTTACTTCTTAAGGGTTGAGTGTATTCCGCTGCAGTTCGACCTACTCCATTATATGGCTGTGAAACATTGCCAATAAAAATGGAGAACGCGAGAAGGCTTTAATTGTTCGACTATCATCGCGTTCGTAGCATAAGGCATATTTCATGGCGCCACTACGTCAGTAACGTAGACGTCAGTCGTAAAGTTTTGGGCAGAGGTGAAAGTTCAGTTGATGAGGTTGCTAATATTCACTGACCAATGTGGCTGAGATATGTGCTACTCCATGCTTCGTCACCGTCTACTCCAATGTGGAATGTTAACTGAAGTAGGTTAGGGCTGGAAAAGGTTAGGGGAGACAGACTAAAACATAACATCACTGCGTAAAATATTTGGCTCTTGGTCTGAGTCGTGTAGGGAATTTTAGACTTCTCGTTTTGGGGACCACATGACAAGGAAAACCAGTAGTTGGTAACTGTAGATGATATGGCTCAGAATCGATCTCTAGCGCACACATCACCACAACAGTTACTTGCTTTAATCTTTCTGTTTATGTTATTGCTTTTACACCTTATGATAATATTATCTCAACTAATATGTAATACTATCATAAGGCGTAAAACCAATAACATAAACAGAAAGATCAAACTCAGTAATAGTTAGGAAGTATGGAAGATAATTGCTACCTTGACGTGGTTGTCGGGCCTGCATTTCACAATGACCCAACGTGCTATGCTAGTGGAATGCTTGTTCCCTCGAGGTCCTACCATGCCAGAAAGGTCTGTTGAATAGTGGTATAACTCACTACACTATGGTGAGGGTCTGAGGGCGAAGTCGTACTGCTGGATGGAGTGTGACAGTGGGTAATCAGACCCACTCAAATGTCAGTCTTTTTCTGTTTAGTTCCTCTTCTTTTACTGTGGTGAATTGTGACTGATGGACTTCTGTACAAGGTTCTAAGTTGATTTATCTCTATCTGCAACCGTGCAGCATCATAAGTCCCTCACGCAATAATTGTGATTCATTGTCTAATAGATAAACATGTGCGTAATAACTGAGTAACATTTAATTAACTGACTCATTATTATTGATTATAAGTAGTCTGTTTGTACGATGAGGAGTGACAATTAATCTTCCTTGGTTTGCTATTTTTTTCTATGAACCGTTTTTTGTATAATATAGGCATCTCTTGGCTGTTCATTGGCAGAAAGACTCGAAAAAATCGATACTGTACAACACTTAACAACACGTCAGATTAAAAAGTTGTTAAAGGATGTTCTGACTAACGAAGACGTTGTGATTGCTTTACGTCGGTACATCAATGGTGAATTTAAAGAGCCTGAAACTGGTGAAGTTTCAGCTGCTACTCGAAGGCGAGCCAAATCGTTGGGATTATTTTCTGTCCTCAGCAATCTTAGAGGAGAGTTGAATTGCCCACTGGAGTCCAGGGCTATTACTCGGTAATTTTAAGTTTTTGTCTTTTCAGTGACTTCTGTTTGTGCTATTTACACTGTAATATAGTCAGTTATGATTTAGTTTACTTTCTACACTGAACTCTAGAAATCAATCTTCGTGATGTCTTCAAGGATTTCGATGACCAGATGGATTTCAAATTCGGGTTAATACTGTCACTTGTTGTAGTTGTGCTCAAGAATAGTTGGAGACCGTATATGTATTTACTGTGTGTTTGCTGTCAGAGTATGTTTTGTTTCATAGGTTATGCATAGAGAGTCTACTGTCTCTTCAAATACCAGTGGGAGCGTCCTACAATATCAAACTATCTTTGTGACATCTTAACAGTAGTAGCTGTTGCAAACCGATTCTGAATTGTAGCAACTGGATGGATATGTAACTGGTAATTACATAAACATGAGAAACCTAGTTTTCTAGTGACTGTCATATAATAAGAATTCCTATTGTCTACATGGGTAGTTCAGAATAAATTATTCGTTGGTCAATTGCTACGATTAACCTGTAGCTTCTTTAAAGAGGTATCTGAACTTTATCTAGTAGAATTATTTACCGACTATATCAACACAGTTAGGTAACCGATGATCAAAACCACGTTTCAAAGTTGTAGAGTTAACTTGATATGACTATGCACAATAAATTGTGTCTGAAATGTAATTCAGTTAATAATACTGTTTCACTGTGTGATATATCCTATAAAAAAAACTTAAATGGGATTTTATTTTACCTCAATGTGCAAGTTTTACTCTCATATTATTATTTACTGTTTGATAAAATTCTTTGAACAACTAACGAAGTAGTACTTCTTTACATTTATTGCGCGTAAAACAATCTAAAATATTCAGTTTAATGAGTCCAGTCAGTATCGTATTGTCTGGTTTTTAAAACTACTCTGCGGTCCAACGGTGCATTGAAAAAAAGAATTATTGTAGTTTATCTGCACAGAACACTGGCTTCTTTATATACTTTCAGGTAGCGTTGGCATTTTAAGACAATTTCAGGTTTCATTGTTTATTTTGTTAACTTTTTCGACCAGATAGTTGCATGCTGGTGGTTTTTGGCGTTCGCACTGCTGAAGGACAAAACAGCTGGCCAGTGCTCCAAAGTTTTCAATGGTTCTCCAACTAATGTCAGCATATGATGAATTGCATGTATGCTCATGTGATTTTTTGGAAGGCACCTTATTAAATCTGATTGATTCTGAATGTTGATGGATCTTTTAGCTTCTTGAAGGATCTAGAGAGTAAATACTATATTCCTAGCAGCATGTCGACCTCTAGTCAATATAAAACAAGACTGGTATTAAATGTTTTTGCCATAAATTATAATCTGGCTGATATATACTTAAACGTTTGTAAACTCACAACATTGAAAAATAAAATCCTTTTCTTCTCCTGGAAATGGAATCACCTACTCTAATTATCAGGTAGTTATTTCTGAACCATCAATAATAGGATTATAAATAAGGGATGAAAACGAAGTAGTGGTGTTAAAATTAGATGAAAATTCTGGACAAAAATCCTGTCAGCTGAATTTAATAAGTAAAAAGAATATACCCTTACAACAACAAAAAAGGAACACTGATACCTACTGAGCAGTATGCAACTCATAAAGTGACTTTTTGCACAACATAGTGAATTGTATAGTTTTACTCTTAGCGTAATAAAACTTTTCTGTTAAGTACCGTGACTCACCGAAGACAGAATAAATTTGTGTAATTAAAGCAAATGTTATTTCATATATCTTTGTTTCTAAAAAAGAATAAGTTTTATGCCACTAAATAGAAGGCTTCGACATTCGTTTTGAACGCTCACCAGTAATAACTGTTTAATTCATGACACAAAACTGATTTTATTTATTTGCTTATCTTGGATTGTTTTCAGGTCACTTATGCGCCGTTTTCAAGACTCGTTGCAAAATCACTTGCCACGTCCTGTTCCTACGGAGGTGAAGCAACCGTGTACCATCCTAGATATACAATTTCCTGATGAAGATGAAAGCACCGAAAAAAACGTAGCAAACACCTTGAATACTTCATCGGCTGACAGTGATTATCAACCAAATGACAAGGACTATGAAATTTTAAGGCGTGATAGAGTACTCGACTTTACTGAAGCATCTAAAAGTACTTCATCTGTTATAGACTTAGAAAATGAAACTAGTCGTAACAGTATCAAAAGCTTCAGCAGCAGTAGTAGTGAAAGTGATTCAAAAGTGGATTTGGACTCAGTTGATTCCGTTCACACTAACAATAGAAACAGTTTTCTTTCCTATGAAAGTGATAGCCAAGACTTACCAACACCTCGTTTCACACGGTCTCAAGCTAAGTCCTTTAGTGGTGGTTTGTCTGAAGCCAGAGATATGTTTCTTACAGAAATCTGTTTTGACGGAGTTGAAAGTCCTGGTTCCAACATATCTTTTCAGTTGAATAGCACTGTCCGACCTTCGCCGCCTGATAATGCTTTTTGTTGTGCTGATGCCGAGGGTGAAGAAGAAGGTAGAGAAATGATTGCAGCAGAAGGTGCAGATGTTGGCAACAACACAATAAAAAACAATGATCTAAATACAGAAAATGATGTTTATGCTCAGTTTCTCCGATCATTATTCTCTTCTGTTTGCAACTCAACAAATTCTTCACCTAACAAAGTATGTTGTAAGCTGTGCATATGTGTAAAATATCCCGTTACCACTATTTTTCTTATGATTGTTTATTTTATCTCCAGAGCACGTCGCTCATTTCACCCTCTACTATCAATCTATTTCATAACCGTTCGATTTTAATATTCCCAAGTTTCGTTACGAGTTATAATCATATATCTCAGACATTATATTTAATATTAAATTCATTCTGTCGACACTTCATCAACGTTTCCAGTATACAACCTATAAGCTAACCTCTTAGCTATAACAGAAAAATTCTGTCTATGCCTTCATATCTGTAGATAGTTAAATCAAAAGTCAGTATCATCTGAGTAGGAATGAAAGCGAAGGGGTATCAGGTTATTGTTTTCATTATATTCGACAGTTTTCATTGATTACCGTCTTTGATATTTAAACAGTGGCAGCTGATGTGATGTGGCGATCACGGAATATTCCATGAAAATTGTCATATTCGCTTGTGAATTTCAGGGACTTTGCCGTCTTATCCGTCAAACTATACCGAAAATCACTCAAATGTGTCAGGAAATCCCAATACATTTCCCTGAATATTATGGGTATTCTTTCCCTTCCAAATAACTAATCGTCATGAATTATGGCCTACTAAATACTGGACAGTTCTTTTGTTGTGAACACATTTTTGGATACTCTAAATGGCTTGTTAAGTGCTTATCAATCGCTAACCTGAGATGATGCGATTTAGTCGGGGAATTAAGTAACTTACAGCATTCTCAGAATTTATTTTCCTACTTGTTATATTATTTTGAAACTAGATTAAATATATCTATAAAGTCATAGGAGAACCTATCACGCAACAAATATGCAGGAGGAAGTGGAGATGGATTGGGCATGCACTGAGAAGGCCGACTGAGGACATCACGCGTCAGGCCCTCGAGTGGAATCCCCATGGGAAGCGACGAGTTGGACGTTCGAGGGTGACATGGAGGAGGTCGTGCGAGGAAGAAATGAGAGCTTCTGGGCTGTCGTGGAACCAGGTTCAAAAGATCTCAGAGAACAGAGTTCACTGGAGACGTGCTACTGAAGCCCTATGTTCCACTAGGAACCCAAGGGACTAATAATAAAATAATAATAATAAAGTCATAGGGCAAATGGCTTAGTGAAGGAAGTCTTAAAAATATCTGCTTTTAAAAAACTACTTCTTATCTAATTTCAGTGTGTACTTTTACTGCTTTCTAGTCCAATTCACGGATGACTGCTTCAGTAGATACATCTTCAATCTGTGAAAGACTTTTAGAAAAGAATTCAAATGACAATGAATGTTTGTCATCAATTAAACACCAATCTGATTTTCACAATTCTGAAAGGAAATCATCGTGGTTATCAAACTGGCTAGTCCAAAAGGATGGTAATAATGATGATGAAGACGATCCAGATGATCCGGAATTTGATGTTATGGCAGAATTGGACGATATCGATAGAGAGGATTTCTTCTATGAACTGCGAGATGACCGTGCTGTTCGAGTATCGAAGATGGAAGCGAAGGTTTGTATCGTTTGTAATAATCTTATCCATATAATGCAAAGTTGTGTTGGTTGTAAAATAATTATTATTATTCTGTATGTCTAATAACGTGTGAGCTGCTAGTGAAATATGCTGTGTGCGCTTGTACTGGCCACTGCTTATACTTTCTGAACTTCGTGTTAGGATTACTTTTTAAAAATTTCCTAGTCATAAGTTAGAATGTATAACTCAACAGTAGTACCTCTTAGTTATCTACATCAGTCGGTACATTTCTCTTAGTATATGTATGCAGCTCTATGCCTGGTTAGATTTGAGCTCATCAGTCTTCTAGATATTTCATACTGAGATTTTCGACAATCTGAACTTGATTTTAGTTGAGTAATGTATCCAGAATTGACTGAATAATTTCCTGAAGTTACACCAAGTTATAGTGATCTACGTCTATCAATGAATACATCCCAGTGTGCTTAGTTAAGACCAGTCATTAACGCAAATCAGTTTTTTAATGACTTGAGTTAGGTTATTTTATACACTGAAAGATTTTTTGTTATCACATGACTATCTTAGACAGTAATTAAATCCGTGTCGAATCACGTCACAACAATTATTCTTACATGTAGATCAAACATATTGCAAACTCCCAGGTATTTGAGTACTGATGGGTATATATGAGAACCGAAACGTTCGACGCAACTATTGATAACTAGCTTCTGGAAAAGAAGTTTTATTAGCTATATTATCATATCACCTTGTAATGTTGAACAGAGATTTCTGTTTTACATTGTTTACACTTATGTCTAGAATCCGCATCAGTATTTCATAGCGAAATATTCGTACTTGATTAGTTTTAATTCTGTATGCAAGCAGATCTTTTCAGTAACAGAGTTTTTCTCTATTTTCAACTCTCGAGAAACCTTTAGACTTTCGTATTCTCTTTCCTACACAATAGAGTTAAAAATTGTACCCCCAGGTTATCTTATTAAGGGTTAGAACTCTGTAAACTATTTTTATGATTTAGTGTAGTCAGCAATTCAGGTTCCTGTACTTACCGGTGACTAATAAAATAAGAAAATTAAGTATCGATTATTAATTCCTTCACTTGGGGACGAACAAATTTGTGAATATGCTGCTAATACTCCTAAAGTGTCATAACCACTCTGTCTTGGAAGCACACACAATCCAACCAAACAGTCATAGACTTCATTATAACTACCAACAATTTCCCCACTTTTTTCATCCTTACTGCTATTGCTTTTCAGGTTTTCAGATGGCAAGTGTGCACAAACATCCTAGCCATTTTGTTCCGTAGTACGTATGATTAAAAATAAAACAGCTCTTTTTTCACTGCATGCGACAATGATAAGCTAAGACACTGTGTGATGATGATTTATCATCCAAATTCTTGAGCTTTCCCTGAGTGATAGCACTGACACAGTCACTGTAACTGGCAGCTGTGTATGCATAAGCAGACAGTTTGTACTGGGCGTTTTCGTTTGTGCCATACAAACCGTGTGAACTAATATTATTAAATTCTCTGTTTGCTTGCCTTGATAGTCTTTCGTCACTGGTAGCCATGGTCAGTAGTTCGATAAGAAAGTTGGCGCTGTCTGTGTCATCTAGAAAAGTGTTGGGGCTTCACTATTGTATCACTGAGCTCAGAAAAAAATTGCTCACAAAATTGATTTGAATTACAAATCTTTTTTGTCTTATAATAAGAAATGAAACTAAGCACTTCTCGTTTCCAAGGCAGTATTCATCACAAACCGATATCCATTGTAGAACCATTGAAAACCTGGAAGCATTGGATAGCCGTTTCGTCGTAGTATGAGAGTCTTCAGTAGTGTGCACTCCTGACCCCGCCGGGGATCGAATCCAGGACCGTCAGATCCCACAGCGAGCATGTTAATCATTCGGCCACTGGTCCACGTTTTTTAATTCTGTCAATTTGTGTTATAGCGTGACCATCATCCAACGCCACCTTTGAGGATTTATCCTCATATCGAACCTGGTTTGCTTTACAGGTCACGACTTCTCATTAGAACTTTTAAGCATTCTATCTCGAAGCATGTCACTGGTGCGCACTGAATTGTATTTCAGTTTTGCGGGTTTATGGAAATCGATTGATTTCAAGGTAGTTTTCATATATAGGATGTGACAGAGCCGCGCAGTATATTTCGTTCTCAATAGTTAAATGGGCATACTTTTCACCAGAAGTAACGGTCAGCAAATATCAGATGGGTCTAACTGATCTGTATCGCTATTGAGGTAGCTGAAACAGCTTTTCGAAATTTTGACACAACTCAGGAAGTAGGTTAGAGGTCATACACTAGGTTGTAAGCTGCGCCTTAAATCGGAAAAGTTATGAAAATTTCTGACTGTCCAAACGGAAGTGGGATAGATGGCCTTGTTATTAATAAATAGAAGGCATACCCTAAAGCAGATAGCGTATTTATCTGCTGCATTTCATATCTTGATAAGATGTGCAGTTGCATATCAGTTGAATCTCTGTTCAGGTTATCAAAAAAGGATTTTTCTGCCTACATCACAAATGAAATTACTGCCTTTGTATTCTGTTTCAACTAACCATTATGAGGAACCATGTAATCGATTCATTTACCTAAAATTTTATTACATGAAAAGCAAAAAATAACAAAATATAAGTATCAAGATGGAAAGCAAAAGTGACAAAGAATATGAATAGTCCACTTACAAGACAAAGTTTATCTGAACAGTGTAATGTATTTGCTCAGTACATTTCAATCTGATCACAAATTTAGGTATCAAGTCAGTTTATATAAAAGGAGAAAATGTTAAAATAAATAGAACAATAATGATGGTAAGAAACTAAAACTAAGAAACATTAAAAAAAGGAAGAATTACATGTTCTTTCTTACTTAATTTTGGTATGAAAAAGATTATCAAGGTAGATGTAATAAAAGGACAAAGTATCCAAACAAAAATGACTAATCATTCTTTTTGTACTCAAAAGTGGTTTCCATTTATTTATGGCTATCGCTTCTGTAAATTTGAGTATGCACCCTCGACTGTTACTTTGTAAAACTCTGAAAGTTGTTCGGACATTATTTCTGTGACCCAAATCTATAATATGTTTCGTTATTGATAAAGAGGGGTTTTTCTCCCATCTGGGTTTATCAAAGTCAGTTGGTTGAAGGCAACCGCCAAGGAGCCCTGGACCTAGGTTTCGCACTTGTTGACAGCAAGGTGATCTGTAATCTTGAGGGAACTGACGTCCCATGTGAGACTTGAATCTGCGTCACTCACTCCTGCAGTCAGCGACGTCACCACTCCAATTGTTTCAGAAACCATTTAGGTACATGTTCTCCCACTCTCAATGTCAAGGCTTGATTAATCTATATATGCACCCACACAAACATGTAAATTGGTAGACACAATGGTATGTAACGTTAATCATTTATGCAGTGTTTAGGTTCGTGATGAAACATATGTTTCGTCTTTTCCACAATTATAGGTTTGACTGCTTAATGCATCTTACCAGTGGCAGACCTTGGCCTCCATATCAAAATAGTACTACTCAATTCCCCTCTGTATGTAACAGTATATAAAAACTTTTCCTGTAAACCGAGTATAGAGTTGGGTTGGGTACTAACTGACTTCTACAGTGGTTTATAAGCTTCAACTTATATCCTTTTCCGAATAGTGTTTTGGTCAGTAATCTGAAATCTCCATCTACCATGTCTGATGTACAGATGCGATAGATCCTATTAAATAGGCACTTTATTAGACCTCCCTTGTTTTGGATCAATCGAAAACTGTTAACGTTCAGTTTTTTTCCTGTGCTTTCTGTAGGTAAATCGTTTTATTGAACCACCACCTTGACGACTCATGAATTCATCTAAGAATGGTAGATGATTACTATTCTCTTTCTCACATATCAAGTTGATATGGTTTTGTACAGTGTTAAGTCTTTTTAGTAGAAAAACCATATCCTTTTGCTTGTCACTAATCACTATAATGTCGTTAACATATCTCTTGGGTAAATAAAACGTCAACGATAAGATCACCAATCAGATTTTCGATATATGACATGTAACCATCAGCTAATAATGTCCCAGAAGGACTACCCAGAGCTAAACCGTCAACTTGTCGAAAGTGTTTACGTTTCAATGTGAAATGAACTTTATCGGTACATATCAATACTCTCTCCTTGAATTTAGTTGGAGTAATAGGGAATAGAGGTTGCTGGACAGTATGTAATTAGATAAACCTAATATTCCTAGCCTATCTTAGTGAATAAAGAATTTACATCTGAAGATCACATAGTCTTGTTTATAGTATTCATGTTACTAAGGCAGTCGATAAGTTCAAAAGAATTTTCAATAAAAATTTGCAGAATTCATCACGGATTGGATTCAACATTTTCACCAGCTGCTTCACCAGTTTTCTATTATTACGAGCTCCGCTCCACCTACGGAGGTTTGGGGAGCTAGGTAGTATCACCATTCTACGCACAATGGGTGTGGTTCATTGGCTACCTACAAGTATGTGCACAATGTGGCTGAGAGCGTTTCGATTTTTGACATAAGATACGCTGGAGTTATTAGTTCCGGATGTAATTTCAACAGACAAGTGTGGGAGTAGTACAGAAATGTTAACTATTTTGATATTACGTTTTTCGATACCCCTTAGGTCTATATGATTTCCTTCAAATTCACCTCTATATTGCTCGTGCTTCTCTCTGTTAGATATCTTAACAGTATGAATTAGGGGCTTGAATTCGAAGAATACAGCCGTATTTACATATCCCTTGGTTACAGTTGATGAAAAAGGCTAGGATTTCAGCAGCTGCACTGCCCAGTCTACTGTTTATTTGCTTCTCAGTCTCTAAACACTGATACCATAGTAGCAAACCTACGATATCAAATGGTACTTATTTCCTTTACTTCCTTGAAAAATTCAGCCAAGTATGGTGTGCTGGTGAAGGCGACTGAAGAAATATGAGTAGAATTTCCTGTTTACTGAAGTTTAGTGTTCATGCCTAACGTGAAGTTTAACTCGACACCTAGCAAAACAATGTTTCAAAGGCACTCTTAAACTGCTACTTTGAGCGCTAATTTCAGAATTTCAAGTTTAAATTCTAAGGAAAGAACCAATGACATCCTAATTAATTATCGGCATCAATGTACTTGGCGTTGGTTTCTGAACGTAAAATGACATCTTGTGCAGTGTTATATTCTATGCCATCAGAAGGTCGCTCTTCTAGAGTTTTTGATGTATTCCATCTTCATGTACTTCTGTGATCGTGTTTCCTTATATTAATCTGTTAAGTTTGCTGCGTGTGTTGCAACACCATTTATACTGGTCAGAAGCAATTCGAGCTGCTCAAAATCATTTTTAAATTTTCAATAATCTTTGTAACAGTTGTGAGCATAAGATTGGTAGGAATTATAGGATCTTTCAATTTATTGTCGCTTACAAGATAACGTTGTTAAGAGTACTTTTTAGTTAAGGGTATTTTGGAAATACGCAGCTGCTTTTTTACCTCTTAACCATTTTGGTGAGTGTGTCTTGAGGCCTCCGTAATTTGTGAAATTCGCTTATTCCTAAGGGTGGCTTATTTGCATCTTTAAGACAATAATATCAAATGTATCGTCTCTCGAAAAATGTATTGCTACTTAAAAGGAGAATTAGTGGGTTGGTTCGAATTTTCGTCCCACTCTCCTCGCATACACTCTTGGAGTTTAGCGCGTAAAAGTAAGTCATATTTTTTAACATAGATTTCTAAATTAAACATGCAGCTACCAGAAATCCAATTAGATAATTTTGTGGCATATACTATCCAGTAAATCAGAGTTCTAGTGAACTGTCATTTTTCAAGTATTATCTTTTGTATCCGTATAGAATTTGCATGAAGATCTGCGTGAACTGTTCAATTCTGAAGACGAACATGAAACTCGTTCACGTGAATCGAAAACGCCTTCAGTCCTAACAATGAAGGCTTATGGTCAACGTTTATTCCACATGGATCATAATTCACGCACCCGGAACAGCAATCAAACTGAAGGTTGTAACAGTCCACATCATATTCAATCCTCAGTACCGTACGCAATTCCTCCTAAGGATATAGATGTTCCTGTGAATCCAGTTCCTGCTCGACGTCGTATCACGTTAGTTCTAGTACTTTTTGGTTTCTTTTTCATTTAACGAAGGATCTGTGGCTTACTGATTTTAGGTAATCAACTTCCAACCAGTGCGTCAGGGGTTATAACCCTCCTCTAACTGTTGAAGTTTGAGTGACGAGTATCATCAGCCCTATCACAATATATGTGGGTCATCGCATAGCATATAAACCGGTACATGGTTGCTAAGGTGCGCCTCAGTTAGCATATGAGTACATATAAAAACACTAATGTTTACTCCTTACAATAGCAGTAATTTATGATATATGTTTCAGATTCTGGTGTATATCACTCCTAATCGCAACTAGAAACTGGATTTCAAATGGTGAAAAATCTAAAATAAAACAACTTAAGAGACCATCATAGTTTATTTCCGACTGTCGAAAAATGATAACACTTATCAGATATAGAAACGTGTTCGTTACAGGGTCAGGCGTTGTTACTTTAACCAGTCTTGTATAGTAATTGTTATTTTGTGGACATCAGAATCAAAATTTGATCCGCTGCAACTGAACGAGTTGGTCATTTGATAGATGATTTGTCAACAAAATGTATTTGTTAAATCACATTGAAATGAAAAATAAGTTTCTGACGCTTCATCAAGGGACGAAACCTGTACAATTTATCATATGTTTAAATAATAAATATTTTGCGACATCGGAAAACGTCAGAAATTCACTCTTCTGCTCCATTGGAACTTAACAAATGTATTTTCTTGATATTTGTTCTACTTTAAAAGAATCAATAAAGTCTGCTTAAGTTGATTTGGTATAATGGAACTAACTGATGTTATAAGATACACTTTTTTTACTACTAATCGTTGTTCGGTTCCAAAAATAGCCAAACAGATTTCACGCCTATTGGTACATATTCATGTAGCTCATATACCACTTTCTGTCTAGTGCACCACTTTATGAGAGTTTATAATAATATTTGGTTTCACGAAACCCAGGAGGTATGGCGGGGTTCGAAGCTCTTGAACAGTGATCAGACATCGAATGCATAAACCGGTGAGATACAATGTCACCAGGCCTAGTCCAGTGGTGTGCTAGTTATGTCATCGCCCATGCAAGAGTCCTAAACACATTCATGCCTCCTAGTGACTAAACCAATACCTCGATGGTTGTCATAAGAAGATTCATCTTTCTTATGAGCTAGAATGATCGGTGAAGTTTGTCAGTCTGGCGGGATTACCTCTGGTTCACATATGCTACTTAGTACCACTGTTACTGTACTCAGTAATTCCATACCTCTATCCTTAAAATTCGGTTGCACGCTGTCAGATTTTACTACTTTGGATCGTTTCAGGTTTAAAACAGCCGTCTAAACTTCGCGAAAAGTTGAAGGAACAACGTCTACGTGTTATTTATATTTCGGCTGGATGTTGGGCGACTGAGGCGTTGCCTGTAAGTCCGTTTAGCTGTGCTTACAAGTGTTCCGCCCAACGTTCTAGCCAACTATCCTAAAATAGGTTATTAGGGTTCCATTTTTTCACTAATGGTTCCACTCACCATCGTCTTCTTGTCATGATCCTCAATCAACCGAAATATTTGCCGAGTTTCACGTAATTCTGATGTCTTTTCCATCTCGTTATCTTTCGACACCCACCACTACTGGCAGTCATTGTGAAGACTTTTGGTCGGTTGGAGGTTAAGTTGTCTTCACTCTCCATTGTGATTAAAGCCAACTTGTATGAGTCTTCTCATACCAATCAGTTTGGATGACGCTGCGGAGATCCATTGATGTTTGCAACGTTTACACGAGCCCATACTAACGCTTGATCACAGTCTAAACTGGTACTCCAGAATTGGTGGCATCCTCCACCCATCCTCTACAACGATGACTGCAGCAATGTTGTCTATCTGTGTTAATCGTTGGTTTGATGCCGGTGGATGCTATGTGAGACAGTGTCTCACCTTCTGCTCAAAGTTAGTACTAGCCATAAACAAGTGGTCGTCGGGAGAAAGTTGCAACAACCGATCACTGTTGTCGGTTCACTGGCATGGGGTTCTGTAAATGCCTCTAACCTGCTTTTCCGGTTGACTTGGCTAACTGACTTGAGCGTTAACGATACCTGCTATTATGACTGTATCTGAATTATTTGTGTTATGTAGCAAAATTGACAGCTTTTCATAGAATTCATCGATTGCTTCATTCGAACTGCAGTCGGTGGGACTATTGACATCCACAAGTGGCACGACTTTTTTCCAGTTTTTTGGTTGCATTTACTGAGATACCACATGAATGGCTCTTGGTTTTTATCCAGGCGTAAAGTAGTTTTTTTATTCTACAACTCGCTGTCATACCTGCTGAAGCTAGTCTGCAAGATCCAACCATTGAATGCACCAATTCTCGTTAAGTGAATCTTGAAGATTCATCTCATTGGCCAGGTGATTTCAGGTTAATAACCACACTTGGCTGTATGCGTGTCTAAAAAACACAGCATACATTCTTGGCTCGAGATTTCAGAGTTTTGGCAAGAGATGGCTGTTGCATGATCTGGCATAGGTTTCAGACATTGAAATCACGAATGTGAAACTAACAGGAGACTTGGAATGTTGTTTCTCTGGCTTGGATCGTCAACAATGCTCACTCAGTGAGAGATTGAGGATGTTGTTAGATGCCTCATATTAGTATCAAAAAATGAAGGCACGGGAGGAAGCAAAGGTAAGAAGATTAGATTATGCTTATTTGGGTGTTTTAAACTTCCAGAAGCGTCTAGGTGTTGAAACTTCCCCCTGTCCACACCGCGGAAGTTTTCTGCGGAGTAACTAAAAGAGAAAATGAAAAAGATTTTTGCCGCTACAGAGGCCATGGAACATGTGCTTGATGTCTTTCACACAGCCTTTTGATGATCGTTGATGTGAGATATGTTTGTTTTAACACCAGATAAGAATAACCTATGCGCCGGCACCGAAAAATCGCAAGGTAGATATAAGTGTAGCATTTTTTTGGCATGGTACTGCTGGTCATCCAAGCAAAACACACTGTTGTCACACTCTATCCAGTCAAGTACGAATTCGCCCTCGAACTCCCGTCATAGCGTAGCGATTTAAAGTATAAAGGTGACTGCTTTTCGTCTTGCAGCTATCCAGCTGTCACCGTTGGACCTCAAGGAACAAGCGTCCCACTAGTGTAGCTCATCGGGCCCTTGTGATATGCATGTCTGACTATCATGTCAAGATATCGAGTTAATTGCTGTCGATATGTCGGAAGAGCTGTTATTGCGAAATGTGGCTGCTGCTTTTATTTCACTAGCACTTTCTGACCACCAGGCTTCGCGTTTATTATGTAAGCCGATTGAAGTTTGTCACTCAAGGGACTTACGGATACTATCATTCTTGCATTCTGCGGAAATGGATGGACGAGTGTGTAACTATTCGGGTAGTGTTTCATCACCCTGGTATGTGACATTTATCGATTTATCACTGCTACTAATAGCGTTTAAAATACTGAATTTCATCATTCTTCGCAGCCTGGTCAGTAAGTGTGAATAACCTATTTGCATCAAGCAGGTTGAGCTTCGTTCAGCTCTAAACTTCTTTGATCATGTGTTCGCCATCTATCAGACTCCCAAACACCAGCATACGTATTGCAGACCAGCTATTGCTGTATTTGTCATTGTTAGAGTTGCCTTCGATCTATCGGTGAAAGCCGTACTTTGGATTTGTCTGTTGAAGATGGTTCTCTCTGAAAAGCCTTTCGACACTTTTAAGGTCCTACAAAATAATGTCTCAAGTTAAGTGGTGATACACAACCACTCCTTTTCATTATTATTATTATATTATATATTATTTGTCCCTTGGGTTCCTAGTGGAACATAGGGATCAGTTGCAGGTCTCCATTCCACTCTGTTCTCTGCAAACTTTTGAACCTGGCTCCACGACAGCCCAGAAGCTCTCATTTCTTCCTCGCACGATCTCCTCCATGTCACCCTTGCCTCGGACACCCAACTCGTCGCTTCCCATATGGGTTCCACCCGAGGGCCTGGTCTAGTGTGTGATGTCCCCAGTCGGTCTTCTCAATGTATGCCCAATCCATCTCCACTTCCTTCTGCTTAATTGTTGAGTGATAGGTTCTTGGTTGGTTCGTTGCCAGCAAGCCAGCCAGAGTTTCTTGTTGCTTATTCTTATCATTCTGGCCATCTGATCTTCAGTAATGAGTGTAGGCAGTTGTTGATGTCTGTAGTTTGTTGGAAATGCTTTTCGTGACGTGCCAAGTTTCTGAACTATATAGGAGCACTGACTTGACGTTGGTGTTGAAAACTGGGATCTTGTTCTTTATGCCGAGTGCAGAAGATCTCCACACTGGTTTCAGGTTAGTGAACGCCTGTCTTGCTGTCTTTCCGATCCTGACTTTGACGTCCTCTTCTGTGCCGCCACCTGTATTTGAAAGTGCTCCCTAGATAGGTGAAAGAGACTACTTCCTTTAAGTTTCTCCTGTTGATGGTGATTGGAGCTTCTTGTTGCTGTTGTTGTTGGTTGGGTTTCTTCATCACCTCTCTCTTCTCTATATTCACTTGAAATCCCGTCTTCGCTGCCTCTTCTGTCAACTTGTTTTTCTGCCCGAAGATCTTCGAGTTTGTGCGACATTAGACATAAGTCATCGGCGAAATCCAAGTCTTCTAGGTTCTCTTCCGTGGTCCAGCGTATCCTCCTCTTCTCGCTCCTCACAGTTTGTTGCATGATCCAGTCCACTACAATCAGGAATATCATGGGTGATAGTAGACAGCTTTGTTTTACTCCTGTGCGTCAACATAGAGGATTCTGAAATCTCACTTATCCAGGTGGCAATCGAAGCTCGATATTATGGTTCGTTTCATGACATATTAGTACAGAGTTCTTAGACCGAAAAATTTCATGAAGGTAGTGAATGCTTATTTCGAATGCACGTTTGAGTTTGCTTCTTTAATAGCCTACCTCTTTTTTGTTTCCGTCCTCTTTTCCTTTTTCGGTATCACAGTTTTTCTTAATGTTACTTTGTTATTTTGTATGGTGCTCTTATTCATGCCCATGTTGCGTCATGCTTGTGTTTTGAATAATAAGAGCAATAAGAATTAATAAACATGGTTTTCTTAAGCTACTTTAGTAATATAGAGTAAAATAGACTCTGATGGACTACTCCAATTATTTGACATCAATTTTAATTGCTTACTGGCTTATGAAATCCCTTCAGGACCAATCGAACCGCCACTTTGGTAACTGAATGAATGCTATTTATTTTTTGTCAGTTGAACTAAATGTGCTAATTCATACCCTAAAGGAAATCTATTGAAGTTGGTAATCACACAGAAAACCAAGAGGGTTTAGAATAGTCCTTGATGATAACTTTTCACTTGTGATGAGCATGATGATGAAACCTCACATGATGGAGAAAAATGTACAACTCTGATGGTGTATTCACATCTGTCAGCTTTTTATCAGAACACCTTCATTGTACCGTAAACCGAATCCTTTATACATCGTATAAAGGTATATGGAAACAGTTTCCTTTAATTCGTACTTCGTACTGGAGATCATTTACTGTTCCGTTTTTCATCGATGTTATTTTTCACTGCAATATACATATGACCAACCTGTGCTTATAACGTTTATTCTGAAGATAAAAACTCTTTTTAAGTGATTATATCGCTGACTTTTTACATGACTTATCCTCTCACTAATATTTTCTTCACTGGAAACTTTTTTTTCAGCCTTACAGGTGCGGAATTGGTTCGCTTAGAACGTCAGCTGGCAATGCACATACAATTGTTAGCTACAAACTTCTTATTGACGTATGATTTTCCTGATATGCATGAAACAGCTACTCGGCCATGTGCATCTCTTCTCAAAACTTTGGTTGCCAAACGTCAGGCTTTTGATTTACTCGCACTTCAAAAAATATCACGAACATATCTCATCCTGTTACTAGCTTCTATTGGCATTGTCCTACCCTAGAAATGGCTGTAGATTTAATTTCTGATTATGCTGGATTATCAATGCTACCTCGTTTGCCGTGGAATCCTTATAAACAGGGAGTAGCAAATAGTCTCACTAAATCACAGTCATTTGCTCTACCGATCCCATACTGTCTACTACGTATCATGATTAACAGTCCTATTTGGTCGTATGCCTGTTTGATGCCAACTGTCTTGGGACCACATCCAAAGAGTCATGTCCGATTGATATTTCATCCATCAGAAGATGCTTTGATGATAATGGGACTGGCAGACTTTTCAGGTGCTTTAATCCGTTCTCGTAAAATTATTCAACCTAAATTGTCTCATCAACGACGTTTGTCAAGGGGTCATGGGTCCCTGAATAAACAACCTGGTCGATACATTGCGTATCGCTTGATTGGCAGACATATACTTCCTTATCGTACTCTTTTACAGTTGCGATCTCGTCGATGGAACCTATTAGCTAATCGGGATAGCATAGATAATGCAGGGAATTCAAAAAATGCATCAGTTGCCACTCACCGTTTGCTTCAGCTCTATACTGAATTAAGTCAACCGGGTGAAGTAGACCTTAAAGGAATCCAACAATACGCCAATGAAATGACTTCTCTTGCTGTCCCTTATGCCATTCCTCTAGTTACTGCATGTCTAACTGACAGGAATTCAAATGATTTGTTTACTTTTGAGGGACTGCCTACTGATGTAGGTTATGAGCATGTACTGAATTCTAATTATCGTAGTGAAAATGTAAAAAGAAGGTTAGATCTGCTGACTGACTTCGTCGAACGTGCAGAATGTTTTTGGCGGTCAGAGATCGAGAAATCTCGAACTAAAGAAGTAACAACAATTAACTCATTTGTAAACGATGAATTCCTTATCAAACCAGAGCAACCTATCGAATGTGATGTTCTTGGTCCCAGTTATTTGCCTGCTATACCAGTTGATCTTAATCCTGATGGGTAAGTTTTGTAATATCTTAAAACCGTATATACATGATGCATCTGGTCGTATATACTTAAAAGTTGATTTCTCATTGTCACTATACCAAGTAAAACATAATTTCTCACAACTTCACTATCATTTATTTTAAGAAAACTAAAATAGAAAGTTTATCAGAATACGATGAAACTATTTCGTCACCTTCTCTTCAACTGCATACAGATTATAAGTTCATAAGATATATACTATATATATATATATATATATATATATATATATATATATATATATATATATATATATATATATATATAATGAAATCCACATAATTCCTTTATCAAGAAGACAGTCCATTGATGACATAATGAAAGAATTGATACGGATTAGGGAGGTTTAAAGGAAATAATTTTTGACTACTAAAATCATATAGTCAGATTGTAATCCCGCTACATGCGGCCAATCAAAATGGAATGGAAAGTATTACGCGAGTGTATGTGATAAGTTAATAATGTAAATATAGGGTTAAAAATTTTGTATGAGTTAAGGTAAAGTCAGACAGGGTCAAGAGTAAACTGGTGGAGATGAAATAGAAATTGGTTGTGAATTTGGTTTTAAAAGGGTATGAAAATATAGAACTTTGGAAGGGGTTATACTAAATGATGAAACAAATCATCGGCGAACCAATTGTGTGAAACTATCATTGATATTTCAGAAAAGCTTTTACGTCTTTTGCATATCAGCCCTAACACTCCGCAGTACTCCTATGGATTGTTCAATTGAAACTCTTCAACTACATAGTGTAGGTTCATGTACCATATTTCTTTTGACTGAATTTCCTTATCTTCATCTTCCACTTCACTGCCTTTTTACTTGATGTACTGATATGAGCTGTGGCAACTCGGACCGTTACGCAATAATGCCTGGTCCTACGTGGATGATCATGTACCAGGCTATTACCTAATGCAATTAAATTAGATTAGAATATGTGATCCAATTGTTGGTAATCAAATGCACGTACTTTTGAGTTGTAGTTGTTCTTTGGAAGTCAGACCTTTGTTGAAAGTGAATGTGTCATTCTTGGACGACTAGGCTAGATTCCGATTTCTAACATATGCTGTAAGTTGGCTGTGTGAAATTTTCTACTGAAAGCCTATGCTCCATGTACACACGTTACTTTTTAATCAGATAGGTTGTCTAAACTCCCACTTTTTTTGATATTGTGGTGTATAAATATCCTGCAAGAAACTGAGCACTGAGTTTGATTTAGTCATTATATAAGTGAGTTTTTACATGATCCTAGTGTGTTTAGAACATCAAAACAAGATTTTTCTGACGTTTTCCTGTGTATACCACAGCTTTTTCAGCAGCAGTGACTGTTAAACAGAAATTATCCTCAACGTAATAAAAGTTACTCATGCACCAAGCTTAACTCAAGCATACTTCGGATATTTTGTTTCGTTAGGAATCAGTGGTTACACAAAAACAAACTACTAACTAGTTTAAGTCTCAGAATACTCAGTTATATTTTCATTTATCTTACAAAAAATGAATAGGTTTTAGAAAAAATGAAATAATGGACACAACAATTTCGCTCATTTCTCATTAACACTTACTAGACAAATAATGTAACAAACCACTTTTTGGTTGTAACCAATTTTTGTTGAAAATATTTCAACGTTTTGAGTGGATGGTTAACCTTTATATGCAGTTCTGCTTTGTTAGGGAACAGAATTACAAGCCAATATTTACGTTTAGTTTCCTCTAGAACTTATCGACTGGAATTCATACAGAATCCCGAATTCAGAGTCAAATGGCTCAGGTGAATCATTCAACTGATTCTTAGAATAAGCACATGCATTTTCATAAGAAATCAATGTTAGTTTCTGTAGACATAGATATTGTAATAGCTCATTTTTTGTGTCACCAATAGCATTGGATGATGGTTGCACTATATCGTCAATTAATAGAAGTGGGAAAATACGCACCGCTGGAATTCAACCCACTGGTCCTAGGCTTGATCTTTCACAGATTTATGGGTCCATACTGTTAAAGAGTTTAAACTAGAGCAAAACAGCTGTCCTGTGCTTCCAGTTTCGGAGATACGTTCTTCAACTGATACTATCCCACTTTGAACAACTTATTTCAAATCGGTAATATGTATTTAAATTTTATTAGACATGCAATCGTAGTCGCAAAGTCATCACAGACATAGACTATTTTATTTTTTTGGTTTGAGACACGATAAGGTGCGTATTTGTTAGTTGTATTACATGTTATACATTTATTTTTTGAAATACCATTTTCCCACTTATCGGTTAATAGGAATGTGTTCGAATATGGGGTACTAACGGTTTACACTGATACACTGATTTCATCACACGTGATATTCTATCTTATCTGAAAGCAGCTTAGTTTGTGAAACAAAACGTTGATGTTTTGATGGTACCATCTTAGTTGGGATTGCTGCACCTACCGGTTGTATCTCAGTGTTACTGTTAATGACGAATAATAAGTTCCTGGCAAATCTGTTGTAATCAGCTGACTGCAAAGTTTAGGACAACACTGCTTAAAGCAATATACATTAGTGCTACTAATTTGGAAGTTACATCATACCTTGAACAACCGAGCCTTGGCGAACTTAAAATACACTTTATATTCACTTCTCTTCAGATGGAGTTGTGGCTCGTTGGCTTACAGAGATGACTTTCAACCAATGAGTCGTGGGTTCGAACACCGTTTCACCTATCGAGTTTTGGGCAACCAGGTAATATCATCAGCTCTAACACTATGTGCTGCTCATTGCCTACCGCACGAATTTGGACAAGGTAACTGAGTAGATTTCCACTCGATTTTCGACCTCTCTTCATATGCCTTTTCTTAGACTATTAATAACAGACAATCTTATAAGATTGTCAGTCAGCATCACCGTGGGACTTACTATCACTGCCTACTGATCCAAAATACCATACGTCCCATCAAGTTAGGATGCACACAAATGGAAGATAAGATGAAAAATAAGGAAGAAGACAATCAAATGCGGTAGAAAATGGTGAAAAGACAACATAAAGGAACTAGACGATGATGAAATTTGGCATAGCAATTAAGATGAAAATAATATGTGGATACATTTGCGCTACTGAGATCGATTACGAGCCATATCACCTGTAGTTTTCAACATAGTGTACACAATTCACCTGGTGACTTTCCATAGGCTGTAACATGCCAACCGGTGTTCGAATATATTGCCTTTAACAGGGTGATGAAATTACGCGGTACGCCTTTCACAGACCTCTCTATCGATGGAGTCGGTCACCTTCAGGAAGAAAAATGCAGCTAATATCGTGCATTAATTGACTGAGTGAAAAAATAAAGAATATGCAAACGATACCAACGCAATGAAACACTTGGGTGGGATACGAATAGTAACTATTCTCCTGTTGTACTTTATACTTCACTGGACCACAAAAATGTTAGAAGACAAAAACCCGCCTGTGACTGTAAGAAAGACACTTTATTCAACGGAAATTCGTCATTTATTTACAATTCTCATGAAAATATAAAACCTCTAGGTCAAAAGTTGGATATTTATTTTGACTGATCAACTGTAGGATAAATTGTCCAATCAAGTTTTTTCTGACCGCGCAGTAACACCAAGCAAAAGTTAGGATCTAAAACTTCTGCCTTAGTGGCTGACTACTTAGAATGTTGATTTCCATTTAGGTCGCTTCTATCACTTGCCCTTGCAAAAAGTATTTGACTTCCATTTTGGATCTACTGGGAAAGGCTTCGGTCTTCTTTGCTGAACTAGCCTTCTAGCAGGGATGAGCTCCCTTTAGTCTGCATCCTGTGCTTCCATGTGTGACATATCAAAAGTATCCAACAAAACGTGGAGCATGAAATCTTGCTTCTTGTTGTCTGATGTCGCCGCTGAAGATTGTGTGTGGTTTCTACACCAAACCCATGTCTGTCCTTCTGCATTTTCTCTGTACAAAACGTTTCCTTTACATCCACTTCCCTATGTGACCACTTTGTTGGTGAATAAAGAATTTGAAGACTCAGGGTATAGCTCCAAAATGGTGATTGAACTGATTCTTCATTTTCGTATTCCTCTCCCCATGTTTTATTTGTCTAAGTTGAACAGCATCGAGGACAGTTTTAATATGAGTTATGCAGGCGATAACTGACTCGAGGTCGAAAGATTTGGTGTCCTACGGCAAAGCAGCAAAAAAAGTATTCAACATTTTCTCCTTCGTTCCTTCCCTCTGCCTTTATTAAAGCTTGCTTAAAGGTATCTATGAAACGTTCTGCCTGGCTGTTTAAGTGAGAATGATATGAAGCGGCACGAATGCGTTGAATGCAAAACTGCTTGAGAAATTCTGAAACACAGATGATGTAAACTGAGTTCCATAATCAGTTACCATTACGTCAGGAATACCAAAACGACTAAACAACTAACACAACTCAGCGATGGTTGCACTAGACGTTATGCACTGCATAGATAAAACTTATGGCCATTTGGAATATGCATCGATATATCAAGAAATGTGTACCGTGTAATGTCCAGCCAAATCGTCGTGTACTGGAGACCATTGTTTTGTTGGTAGTGTTCAAGAGCATAGTTCTGTCTTTCGTGGGCTCTTTAATGCCCGGACACATCTGCGGCATCAGCGAACAACGTCTTTAATATGTGCATCAATTTTGAGTCATTATGCATAACTGCCAGCAACCAATTTCACCCTACCAGCAGCAAATGAAGTTGACGGATAACATAGCTGAAGAGGTTAGCAGGAACCACCAGTCTATCTGAAAACAATATGCAATCCTTAACTATGGATAATGACTGACGTCACTGATAAGATTGCTTTAGTTATGAGAATGAACATGCGGGAGCCAACCGCATCAGATAAATTTTGAAACCTGTTACAGAACTGGATTACGTAGAGTGTAGTTAGCAATATGAACTTCGGTAACTGACAGTAATTGGTTTACGTGCACAAGGGTTTTGCTTATATCGTCCTCGACAGAGAGTGATTCAATAACAGCACTTCATTCTCCAATTTCTGACTCCTCAAGAAACGTGATAGTGCATCTACCTGACCAAATTCAGAAGTTGACTTGTATTTTATATCGAAATTATATCCCAATATCATGATAGCCCATCTTTGAAGTCGATTCGCGGTATACACTGAATACCAAATATCGACAGTAAAGGCTTGCGGTCGATAAACAGAGTAAAATTCCTGCTATATAGCATTTTATGGAACTTCTTCACAGCGAAAATAAGTCGCACTTCTTCTTTTTCAAGTTGGCTGTATTGGCGCTCTGCTACGTTGGGAGTTCGAGAGGCATGCGCAATGGCTTTCTTCTTACCATCCGGAAAACAATAAGAAATGACAGCACCAATACTATAAGTAGATGCATCTGCAGCAGTGATAATTTCAAGACTAGGACCATAACAAGTAAGTAATATCCAACATGAGCAATGATTTTACCTTGTCAAATGCACCCTGACACTCAGTAGTCCAATTCCATTTCACTTTTTTGAACAACAAATGGTTTAGTGGAGCACCCAAACAATAAAGCTGATAAGAAGATACTATAATAGCTTGTGAAACAAAGAAAAGATCGTAGATTTGCAACATTGGATAGTGCAGGCATGTTCTGGATAGCACGTACATTTTCTGGATCTGGTCGATATTTATCTTCATCACCTTAATCTATGAGAAATGTATACTTTTCCTCTTTAAGATAAAACCCATACTCAGATATTTTTGGCAGTATTGTATCTAGAAGATCAAGCAATTCAGACTCACTGGTAGCTATAATAATCACATCGTACGCTGCAACTCTAGGTTAGTTTGCAAATATTGTGTCCATGATTTGTTGAAAGATGACAGGTGCTGGTTTGACTTCAAAATGTGGGCGAGTAAGCTGGTAAAGACCTCTGTGGGTATGGATTGTCAACAACTCTCTGGAACTTGGTTCGACTTCAATTTGAAGATTTATATCTGCAAGATAGATTTAAGCATAGCATCTGCCACCATTAAAATTGACGAATAAGTCTTCTTGTATTGGTAGTGGATAGATATGAATTTCCAGAGCATCATTTAAAGCGGTGAAAAAATCCGCACATAAACGAATCGAACCATTTACCTCTTGGACAAACGCTATTAAGACAACCTATAGAGGACACCCAATGTCTCCACTTTGTCAAGTTCATTGTCAACCAGATTTACTGCAGCACAAGGAACTGGACCTTTCAAACGAAACACTGGTTTTGCATTTGGCTTCAAAGACAAAGAAACCTGAGTAAATTTACAGCGACCGAGTTTGTCTTGAAAAACTGATGCATAGTTCTGAAGTAAGCGTCCCAGCAGAAATTTATCAGACATTGACGAAACAATATCGTGTGAAGATGACTTAATATGAAAACATATTCAGTTTAATGCAACATTTGAAATTTATTTATCTGTTTGCAAACTAAGCAGGTCTAAGTCATGACGATTTGTGAGATAACATACACCATTGAATTTTTCTTCTCCAAACTGAACGTGATAGATAAATTCACCAATGTGTTTTATATAGCGCGTCTCATACACTTTTGCCGACATTAATATGCTGCTTTTTCCAGTCCATTTACTTCTTGTTTCATGCTAGTGTGACGTGTAGAGATTCGAGCTTGTATGCTTTTCTACCAGGTTTTACTATGATTCGTTTGTTTGTGTTCCACTCACTCTTTGAAAACAGATGTAACTTCTTTTTATATACACTTTACCGTTGCTCAATCTTCCTATTTATATGTAGAACCAGCAACAGTATTTTTCTGTATATTTTTATAGTGAAGCAATTGATGGTTAATCGATTGTACAATGTTGGTGATTGGGTAATTGGTCAGTTTATAGACTGAATATAGTCACGATATAGCGTGGCGCTCCCGAATGATTAACGCTCACGAAAACGATATAATCGATTGATTGATTGCATTCGACTTATACCTATCGTTAAAACCCGATCGCAATAATGACCTAGAAGACTGAGGAATTGACCGTATAATCCAACCAAGTTTCATCCTAGGCAACCAAATAGTTTTCCTTATTTCAGCTGAAATGATCGTTTTTTTCATAAAGTACAGGAAGCTTACTGGTTGTTTCGATGATTGCTAAGGTGGCTTTTAGAGTCACTGATTTGATGAAATATAAACTGCTTATATGCAATGAGCTGAACTAAAAATAATTTTAACAGAAATTCTGCAACTAAAAACATCTGCTTGATTAAGAGTGGAGGCCATAAAACAGCTAATGATTTTCATTAATATCAGTCTGTCTTACAGTCTGCTTTTTCACTTTCAAACAAAATATGGTTATCATTGAATAAAGTTTCTTTCCAATTGTTTACTTGACTTCTATTCATCGACAAATCCTTCTTATTATTTTTTCAGTACTATAGTTCTCAGCAGAACCAGTGAACCGGCTTTGGTTGAAGTTTTCAAAGTTGCTGATAAACCTGGATCAATTCCTCCGTTAAGTGATCTAACTGAAGGTTCAGTTAATTTACCGAATGTAGAAACAAAACACAACCAGTCTGTCGTATCACATCATATTGAATTTATTTTGGCTCGTGTAAACACCCAAAAATCCCGCAGTTCCTCAAAGAATGGTGAGATGGTGACAAAAAATACCCAAAGTAGTGATATATCAGATGGTATTATGAAATCATCCGTCCCTGAATTTACCTTGAGTGAACCACAGTTTGAAGATCTGCCAAACATCTTAGAATCTTATTGGAATCATACTGGTAATGTTGCATTGGATGCTTGCCAAAAAGTAGCTGATGCTTTGGTGAATATCTTTCATTTCGGTTTTGACAAATTCTGCGTTGTTAATGGAGATGGTTGCTTTGGACCGAAAAAGTTCAATCAACTGCCGAAGTCATCGTTATCCAGCCTAAATCCTCACAGTTCTAATTCGGATACAAATTGCGGATGGCCTAATCAATCGCAGTCTGTCCTAGACCCTACAGTTTCTATCTCAGAAGAATGTCACAGTCAACCTGCCGGTGTTTTCCCAAGTACTTGTTTTTTATCTTCCAGTCGTTTTGTTGCACGATGTCGAGCACGTGGTGATGCTACTGCAGCTGATCTACTAACGTTACCATCTTCAGTTATCAGTCATTCACAAGCGGTAATAGATGAAATGGATGTGAGGCGAGCACGTTCCTTATTAGATCGATGTCGAACTTATCTAACAACCAGTGATTACAAACGAATGATGCGTAACTTGAGTAGTCTCAACCAAGCTATTCAAAATCCTACCTCGATCGTTGGTACTCATGATCATTCCGACAAAACTGAAGTACTAGTGTCCCTTTCACGTGTATTAAATTGCTTAAAAAAACATGTATCACTATGGGAGGATTTTGTCTGTCTTCTTACTCCATCACAAGCACGCAGTTTAGGCCTACTCTCTACATATTTTAATCTAGCCCACATTGCTCGAGTTCAAAGAGTTTTACAGGATATAGTTCCTCGAGATAGAAGGTTTTGGAGACGCCTACGCAACTTGGCAGACAGCTGCAATATTGAAGTACGGCATATTCCAGTTAAAAAGAAGATATATATGGATCAAAATGATACTACTCTTGAATCTTCAAATATATCTGAACAAAGTCTCAATGACTGTAATCAAAGGATATCAAGGGAGAATCATACTAGCCGAAAATTGTCCACAACAGAAAAAAATTCTGGTGTAATCTTAAATAAAAATCAATCCAAGTCCTTTCGTGTTAGAGGTATGCGACTAAAAGGCGGAAGTATGCATGATGCATTCGCCAAAACCTGGTCAGTTCTTGAGAGCAGTTGGCGCAATCGTCCAGTCCTTTTATCACGTATTGCTAGCCTGATCAACACCAGACATAAACCTTATGCTGGTTTTGAACAAGTAAGTTGTATATATTTGTCATATGTATCCACTGTAAACTTTTTAGGTTTAAGTTACCTTACTTTTCTTAAAATGTTATTAACATAAACATGTTCAGTAACCATCCTGTTCTTATTTGCTTATGACCCCACTAAAATCCAAGACGTTTTTTTGGGATTTGTCAGGTATATGTACTTGCATTTCAGTGAGGATTGGCGTTCCCAGACGTAATCTTGGCATCCATTACTACATCAGTCACAATGTTATCCACTGAACGACTGACTTCTGTTGGCTACCTTGTGTTAACATTATTTGTCATAAAGACTTGAAATTTTGTATTCATGAAATTTTCACAAGAAAAATTGTTTTTTTCCTTCCCCGGTCGATAGCTGCTATCTTGACCTAGCGGTCACGCTTGGATACCACAATGACCTAACGAGGTATGCTGATGGAACGCTTGTTCACTCGGGGTCCTACCATGCCAGAATGGTCTGTTGGATAGTGGTAAGAAGAAAAGCAATTACAGTTGTGGTGTAAATTACTACACTATGATGGGGGGTCTGAGGGCAGAGTCGTTCTGCTGCTAGCTGGATGGCGTGTGACAGCAGTAACGTGTTTCCCTAGGATGACTGGCAGTGCTACGTTGATGCTGCCTTCCCTAACGCGAGGAATGGGTTAAAAATAGTTAACCTCCAAATAGCACTCCACTATGCCCCACGGTCTTCCCGTTTGGCGATATTGGTTCTCTCTATCCGGCGACAAAACATCTAAACCTCAAAACATCCCTCAAAAGGTTGTGTGACCGGCCTCAAGCAGAAATCCCATGAACTCTGTGGTCACACAAATCTTCTTCTCTTCCAGGTACCTTAAGAAGAAATAGCCTTCCACGATGTGGGCAGCTGAGAGGTGTCAACCGCCCACACGCTTCCAGTAGTACACAAGACAAGACCCGATTGAACATAACCTATCCTCCTCAAATCTCTCTCCTCCTTTCCTTTCACTCCCTGATATATAATATTAAGCCTCTTACGCTTTACCGAATCGCTCACTCTACAACCAATGCCAAAAATCGAAGCCATCGAAACCTGATTTCTAGTCTCCTAAGACTGTGTCATAGACCGCGTGTAGGAGCTTTCAACTTCCAAACTCTATGCAAAATCGGACAGCAAGCATCCCTGAGTAAAACTCTGGAATCTTGAGCCATGGATGTATGCTGTATATGTGAGACATGCGAAGAGGACCCGAATGTGGTTATCAAATTGACCTCACCTGACCATAGTAGTGAGTCTTCAAAATTCACTTGAAGAGCATCCGCAGACCTAGTGGCCAACTCTTGTGGACTCGCTGGTGTAGGCATTGCATTGAGCTGTAGAGGAGAAAGTGCGCTCCCTGACTGGATTTCAGCCAACAATCGTCTATGTGCTGTTGGACTGAATGGATCTGTAAGAACTATGTAGGATAGTGAGAACAACCGATGCCTATTCGAAATCTCAGCCTACCCACGCACCGACCACAGTTCGGATGATGCAAGGGAGGAATTCTGTGAGAAACTGTCAATCTTGCTACAGAAAGCGAGTTGATTTTGACGCTGAAGTAGGGAACGTTAGCAGAACCAATCGGAAAAGTATCTTGAAGGCACTTGCGGAATCCGATGCCAACGAGCCGGCAATGGTGACCATCTGTTGCAATTCTGTCCCGACAATCACTTGTTTCTGGCCAGCATCAACATTAGATATGAAGAGAGAGTCTCACATGGCGTCCGCCGTTTCTAAAGCGTCGATAGACATAGATAAATCATATTGCTATCAGAAACCGTTGGAGAGGATCGGTGGAGCATTACGCTCTTTCCGGAGTACCAGTTTGGCCTCCAATCACACGTCAGTAAGAATACGTGTATGCCTGAGCCTTACTGGTCGGAGGAAACAGGCGCCAGTAAAGCCTTTATATAGATGATTGGAGGGTGAGGACGCCAAGTGTGCATTTAGGGACCAGTTAGCTAAGCTTCTACCTGAAGGTGACAGCAATGCTCATCCTGAGGAAACCTGGTGTGATATTAGGTCTGCTGTAGAAAAATCGGCAAAGACGGTTAGTAACGTACACCAAAAGGTTAGCGAACGTCACTGGATTCCCGCGACCTCATCGGAACTGATTGATGCGAGTAGGATGACTTCTACCAAGAACTGTAACCTCCTACTGGGAGCCAAAAGTTTAGATACCGTTATCGTAGCAAGTGATTCTAATGCACAAAGGTATAGACAATGTCTGGCAGAAAGACACTTAGGTGGTACTTTCGGAATTCCAGACGAACGGACAGACAGTGATGATCGACTACTATAATTGCGCTCAGACTATCATTTATTTCTGACCAGCACGGACTTTACATGTAAGGAAATGCACTGTCTGATATGGCGTCCACTGAGCTCAACTTAGCAGTGGGCACAGACTACATTTCCATCAGTTATCGCTGGATAGGGTCGATGATAGACTGCTGCTCCTTCTGGAGCACGTGTTTGGACACCTACCGCGTGTATATCTGCGTCTAAACGGATGTAAAAAAACTTAGCAAAGAGACCATTGCAGGCGCCACTCGTCAATGAAAGCACTAAGACTGTTTCAGTGAGAAACTGGCTAGATAGTTATCGGAAAAGAACATGACTCATCCGAAGAAGTTTGGTGTCATGTTCCGTCTGCTATAAAAACAGCGTTGAAGACCGTAAATGACTCTCAGAGGGTGGTTAAAAAGAGTCAGAGGATCTTTACAACTGTATTAATGGATGCGCGTGAACCCATTCCTACAGGCTCCGGGAACAATGAGACAAATCAAATGTAGAGTAACAAAGTGACAAGTCAATAACCAAGGGCAGTGTCAGGTTACGAAGGCTAAAGAGACAGAGAGGCAGCAGCCCTATCGCTACAGACATTTATGCTGGTCAAGGAATCTGCGGCAAAAGGTTAGTGGTTAGTGAGACTATAGTGAGGAAGGGTGGTTCTGCTATTCACCTACAGGGAAGGTGACTGGAACGATGGGAGGAGCACTTCAGCTATGCTATAGTACTACACTGTTGTCCGCCATCCAGTCAGATGCTGAATGGACCATTGAAATAGAGCTTCCAACACACAGAAGTCGAGAAAGTAGGAAGTAACCTGAAACGAGGAAGGGCAGCAGGGCCAGACGGACTAATACCACAGATATTTAGTGGCGGTAATTATGAAATGGAATGAAGTGTTAACTAGTGTGTATAAGTCAGATACGATTCCCTCTGACTGGTTTCAACCACTGATAGTGCCAGCCTTCAAGAAAGGGGGTGAAACCTCTTGTGATAACCCCAGAGGAATCAACCTGACGGAAATAGTGTCTAAGTTTGTAGGTTTTATAATCATTAGACGTCTGAGTAGGAATAGCATACGTGCGAAATCCATGCAGGTTTCAAATCTAGCGGTTGGTTTATTAAGAACATATTCAGATTACGCCACATCCTAGTACGCAGGCACATTTACTGACTCCTGACACTGGCTGCATTTATCAACCTGGAGGTGTTATTCAACTCCTTCGATTGAGACGTCGTATGGGAGTCTCTCACTGGAACTGGTACAGAGTAAATACATCACTCTGTATAGTGCACTGTACTCAGAGAGCTGTGGGGTGTGTTAAAGCCTGTGGTTCATTGTTGTTTTTCACTTTTCACCCTAAATCGTAGTTTCTCATCATATAATTACCAAATGAATTTCCTCCTGCTATGATAGCACTGTAAGTTTTCTGTAATTTGTGCCTCACACCGACCGATCGAAGGGCACAATGTGACTGTATTCCAAGTATATTTTCGTGCACATTAGAAATATGAACAGCTGGTGGTTTATTCGTAGTACTGTGGGTTATGTATATATGTCTTTGTTCATTGTTTCCTGCTCTGCAGTTAGTTTGAGAGGTTAGATTTCGTATTCTTTTCGAGTGCGATAGCATTTCAGTTGATGCAGGGATATATCACTTTAATATCCCATCTTACGAAACAGCATGTCGAAAATAAATATGAAAAACAGTTAACTGAAGAGACGATGAATTGAACATAGTATTGACTTGAGTTTATGACAGTCAGTGCTTCCTATAGTCAGTTAGTGTTATTTTCAAGAATTCTGCTTAAATTTCACCACACAAGTGCTAACAGAAACCAGTCAATGGTCAAGATTCAACCAATACAACTAGTTTTCTTCCGGATCTCTTGTTCCCAAGCACCGTTCTGTAGTAAAATGAGTACGGACAGTGTAATACTGAAGCTAATTATCGTTTGAATTGATAACTGTGTGAGTAGCAACAAAGCATATTTATTGTTCCTTATGCTAAAGTAATCACTAGTTGGAGTTTGTCTCACTTTTGGAAATGATACACCACTTCCTAACTAGCATTTCCAAAAACAACGAAGCCGGTTTGTAAAAAGCCATATTTCCCGAAGTAAGGTTTGCCGCGGCCCTTCGTCCTAGTCAGAACAAAAGAAGAATAAATGAGTAGCTACTTGAAGTTAAAATGACTTAATATCCAAAGAATCTTGCTCTTCATGAATAGCACTTGTTGTTATTGGCGATCTTACTAACCACCATCTTTCTAATCTCAATTATCGAAGTTACCAATTCCCTAACTATTCGCAATCTCCTGGATTTTCCTAGCTTACGAGTACCCAGCACCATTTCTTTAAGTTAACCCACCTAGAAACTTTATAACTGTTTCCATTGCAGCGTAAAGTTATTTTAATTCATTCGCCACATAAATTTCTCTCCAGTTTTAAGTGCTTATTCAGTTAAAAAAAAAAAGTTTTACATACGGCGTGAATAAAGGTAAATGTTCCTTCTCCTTAGACATTGCTTATTAGTCACATAAACAAATCGACGTAAAACCTGGCGCAAAAGTACATCAGTTTTATAATTATTGGAAATGTTCGAAATTTGGGAGATGATTGAACCGAATTATCCAGTTTCGAAGTATTGAATCCTAACTTTAGGGAAATCCCTGTCAGGTATTCTACATTTTCTTATGCAGATTAGGTGCTTGAAAGATCAGTATTATTTCTTTTTCGGGTTACTCTTAACTGTTTCCAAGTTTTTATGTTGGTTTCAGTACACGTGAACTATGCTGCAGAGGCATACATGATCAAAACCTGTAACCATTTTGTGTATTCTAACTTCATCGACCATACTTTACAGTAACACAACGAACGTTTGCACACTATACTCGTCCTTCTTTTCATATTAAGGAGTAGAACTTAGTTTGCTGCAATGTAGTTATGATTACTCATCAAAACCGTGAGTAGGTTTTACCTTTTATCCGTCTGTTTGCGATTATGTACACTCAAATATTGAAGTGCTATTCAATAAGTAATTTGTTTTAACGTCATCTTGTGTTATACTATTTTGTTCCTTAATTTATAAGAATAGCTTATAAAATAATTCATTTTCACTTACGATTTGTTTAGAGCTTCGAAGAAACAGATGTACTCGCTCGACATTCTGTAGGAATCCCAATTCCTTCTGAAGAATTAAGTCAAAGCATAAGTGCATCAAACGCTGATGATTGCATACGTCCACTCAAAGTTAAAACCGGCAGTCCTGTCAGTATACTTCCTCCTCAGGTACTATCTTTTCTTTCTGAAGGATGGGAAGTATGCACTGAACTTTCGTCAACTGTCCACAGTCGCAACAATTCATTAGGTGTTACTTGGGCACGTAGACAATGTCCTTGCCGATGTCATCCAGTGTCATCAAATAAATTTTCAATTACAACAGGTCAATCCGGGAAACCTGCAAAAGTTGATAGTCTTGGCTTGAGACACTGCATTTCATGTAGTTTAAGAGTAAGCTATTTTGTTTTTATTTGCTACTTTTCCTGTTTTTTGAGGAAAATTTGCAATGTTTTATCATTCTACCATATACGTGGTGTATTTTTTAAAAGTTCAAACAAACAGTCGTTAAAAATGCATGAAATCGTACCTTCAGAAACCGCATCATTTAATAGCTGTATCTGTAAGATCGATATGCACTTGTTGATTATTATTAATACTATTATCCCGTTTTGTTCCGTAGTATGTTGTGCACAGTAAAAAGTGCACGAAAGGATGTATGGATTAGCTTGTGAAATGATTTAAATGTGTTAACCTCTCAATCCTCACATAGTCGACGTGACTGATTGAAGTGTTTTATGAATTTGTATATGGTTACCAAGTTGCATTATGTTCTATCCAATACCTTAGGCAAAGTTGAAAATTAGTACTGAATACTATTTAGAATGTATCACTTGAATTATTCAGCTCTCTAACAGAACTGACGATGGTTAAGTTCAACAACATTCGCTGCCAACGTAGATCTATGAGTGAGGCTGGTAACCGTCAGAAGCACTATTATCTACATGTAGACTGATAAAGTTATGACTACTTTAACACAACATATTTGTACTCTGCATTCTCTAGGTGCATCGTGGTATAGTTTACATTGATGCATGCAATCTTCACCTACGTCACGTTAAAATAACCTGGCCACCGAATTTCAAGCCCAAAGCTCGTTTGCCTTCAAATCCTTCGTTAATCGACTCTGCTTTGAATCAGAACCATCGTCCAACAACAATACACCACACTCCATCAAACATCCCAACTCGTATTGCTGTGAATGAGCTTGTGAAAATGCATGCCAGATCATACTCTTCGAATAAATTATCAAATCACTGCACCCTCTTGCCAGATATGGCTGGCAGACGTGTTTCAATCGAATATATTCCTGCACTTAAATCGACTACATCGTCCAACCGAAAAGTTACTGATTTCAGTAATCAAGATGAAGGTAACGCCAGTAAAGCAGTTGACGGAATTCAACTACCGTGTCCACCAATAGTTCCTAATCGCAACAGGAGTAGCTCAGAACCTCTAGATTTAGGTTCGATATCCAGTAACGTAGAAAATCCTGCAATTTGGACATTAGATGATGAAGCCGCTTGTTTCAATACGGAAGCTTTTGCTTCTACTTCAAACACGAACCATGAAAATGAATTTATTAATAATGAAACGGATGATTGGACGTCAGAGGAAGATAGGCAATTATTGGAGTTTTGTAAAGCAAGAGGTCTATATAGTTCCCGTATGTTTAAAGACTTGGCTAGAATATGGGAACCTAAACCATATAACTACTCTCCTCAACGGAACTCAGCTGAATTAGAGGCACGTTTCAAATATCTGATGCGTATTACTCTCAGAGAAGCTTATGATCCTGAGCTATTCCAAACACCTTACAGAGAAGACTCACCCTATGAAGATAGTTAACAAGTAAAAACTATCCACCAATGCCATAGGTCTACATTTTTGTGTAGGCACTAACATTAATAATAACAAGAAAATAGTATTATTCCATCTGTATCATGTCTTTCATCTGTCAATACTTTTGTACAATACTTACTGGACATACCATTCTTCTGTAATTATATTATTACATTCATTTTTCTTTAGTTCATTGTCTGATAGGTGTATATAATAACAGTTTTCACGTTTACATTTCACTTTTGTATTCCCAGCTTTTTATGTAACAAGTTCACTGTTTTAGCTAGTTCATATATTGAAAAAACCTAGTGTGATACGACCGATTTCGTTCAACATTCGTTGATACAAAAAGCAAACCACGTCAGTGAATTCGTCGCATTGAACAAAATGATCAGTTGGCAATTGTATAGGCTTAATAAATAATGGTTCCGGTTTATGATTCCCAGCAAACAGATAAAGAGAGGATAGCTGATTCTAATTCTACTTTCGGGATGTAGACTTAAACATGAAAGTATCTGCAATAAACTGATAGTTCCTAGAAATGATCCTGATAACTGCCAATAAACCCTGCCACTTGATCATGACTCTACTGCCTGAATAAAGTCGCTCTTACTTATGCTTTCCGATTCTTATATGTCATTGTCTCGATTGAACACAAAACCAGAAACTGGCGATTTTTTTCTTGGCAGTTGTTTGGGTTTAATTCTTATGTGTTTGCTCGACTGAATAACATGTCCACAACTCACAACAAATGTACAACAAAGCCATTTAGATTACAAGATGAGGGACACAGTTTGCGGTTGACTGATTACTACTTTTTAACTGCAGCATAAAACAACAATTAACGAGTTGATAGCTCGTAAAAGTGAATACAAATTAACTGAGCGAATTACCCTTAAAAGTTGTACAATAATTGGTAACTGAACAAATATTTTCCTTTCTTTTGTCCCTTATCACATATGCTAGGAATTTTTTTTGAAGTAACACTTAAATTCATAAATACAAATATTCTCAGAAAAAAACCGTATGACTAACCTCAGATATCTTTTGCACATGTATCCAAGGTACTCAGATCGTCAACCCTAATCCAGTGTAATTTGAGATGAGGTTCATTGGTTTAAGCATTCGACTTCCAAGCAATGCATCCCGGCTTCATGCCCCGTTTTACCTAAATAGGCAATCCACATAGTATCACAAGCTCTCACACAGTGTGGCTGGAATTTTAACAGATAAACTTGTACATAGTTAAGTTTCTTATTTGATTCAGTGTGCGTGTCCGGTACTCAAAACATTTCAATATTTTTTCTTAAAATAGTTAGTCTGTTTTCGTGTACTGTCGAGCAGTATAGAAACTTGAACTGGCGTACTTCTGTTTCACCCATCTAGTTGACAAACATATTTCACTTTGAAAGTGCTAATGCTCTTTTTTCAGATAAACTATAGCAGACTACTTTATTCGTAATCAATGCAAGCAATTGCATAGCTCGCCTACTGGATTTGTGTAGGTAAAGGTTATTAGTTAATACAGATTATATGGCCCGCATTCTTCCATTTAGAAACTTGCCAAACTGTCAGCCAAGTTTTAAAAGATGTGTCTGTAGATTTAAACTTTGCTAAATGCATTAAAATACTGTTACAACACAGTCTAATCTTCACTATTTGAAGCTATTTCAATATGTATTGTAGGCTTCAGAAGTTGCTCTTGGTTGTAAAAGCTTCAACTCAACAGGCCATGACCTGATGACTGAATACAATATGATAATTGTACTATTTTTCATCACGCTTTTAGCTTTTTTTTATAGATTCCGTACGCAATAGCACATTCAGTTTTAAAAAATAATACTGCTTTAATATTAGTGCCAAGTACGCATTCAGTAATTGACCTTCCAAATACACATTCTGCAGGCATGCATGCATCTCAGTTCTGTAAACCAAACAAACATCTATCTCTTACGATATACACTTAGCCATCATATTCTCCGCATATGTAACAGATTTTATCTGGGATAAATCCACTCAGTTCGTATTTATTGAATGTATAACTCAGCAACCACGTGTACTAGACGATGACCCACACTTATTTATTGGCTTAAGGAAGTAGTTACTACCCGACTTCCGAAGTCTTGGTAAATGGAGCCAGATCTAAACTTGTAACGTACTGAATGGAAGTCAACTCCTTAAACTAATGAGGCCCAGTCGATTACAAATGCATGGGAATATATTAACACAAAGCTCAATCCGATAACACCATAAAAAGTATTGTTTCAGTTGCAATCGTACGACATTTAGTTAGTTGAGTCGTAACTGTGTGGTTACCAACTCCATGATGAAACATCCTTGCTATACTTTCTGGCACTGATAACTCATGAATCTACAGAAATGAAACTGATGAGTGACCACTCAGCAGGAAACTTCCTATTCACATACGGTATGTTATATTTCTGAATATAAACAGCGTAACACTAATTATGACAACCTCCTTTGTATTGTTACACTCCATTTTGCATCATTTCGCTTTTTTCTCGCATGTTTGTAACTGCTTACAGTTAAAATAAGTGATGACTCGGAGTCACATTCGATAGTAAGTATATCTCAGAAACCATTTAAAAGCTTATGTATTAAGATGTAAGGTACACTTATTATTTAAATCCTTGCAGATAGAAACATCCATATCAGTCGTTGCACATAAATGCATCTACTGAAGTTGCTGCGATATGCGACAGTACAAAGAGTTAAAAGCGTTTATGTGGCTACAAAATTATAAACCTTGCTTGTCTAGATTTCTATGCTTCAATATTATTATAAAATCAACAGTCCTGTCACGCGTGAGCAATACGCCGAACAAAATTATGATAGACAGTGGTAACCATTTCGGATATTCTGGTTTTAATGACTGGGTCAGTAATAGAGTAGGATATGCGAATACCGATGAAATTTTTGTAGCTGTATCAAGAATTTGTGAGCGATTTATCAGCACCGATACAACTTCGCATAATGATCAATTTACCTTCATTTCTATTGATAAGCAAATCTGGAGAACAGTACCATTTCGAGTGTGCGAAAAAAATATTCTGAGATCAGTTAACGATGCCCAGTAGCCCCCGCATCTTATTCGCCCGACTTTAAGTCGACCAAAGAATCATTCACCAATAGGCCAATACCTGGGAAATGAGTCACAAACGCCAAAATACAATGGTAAGAACGAGCACCACAAAATATTATTTGAGCAGGGAAGCGTCAGCCATTCCTACAAGACTTTCGATGGTCACAGTCTAATTTTATCTTCATTTCCAACAGTAGACTAATTCATACTTTTATTTTAAGATATGACAGTAAGTACATATCTGGTGGATACACCAACAACCATACCTCATAACTTCTTGTCTCTCTCTTGAATTTGCCATCCTTTAGATTACCTTATGTCATGTGACTATGGACTTACACGAGCTGATTTTCCTAGAGTTTTAACACAAGATCTCCCCATTTCTGAAAACTGTAGCGATCAATGACAGTTCGTAAAAAAGCCTCATACTCCAACTCACTCTTCGGTTAATGTGACAGGCAATTTCTTACCATCATGCTTCAAGGCTTATGAAGGCGAAACACTGGGTCTTGCAACTTTGCTGTATCCAGTTTATAGCGATCTTCTCAAATTCAGTAAGTGTGAGAGATGCCCAGACACACTTTTCACATCTGAACTGGAGTGAGTGGATAGAAGCTACGAGTGCACGCAAGCACATGTCCGGGTTTTCATAGTACAAACCAACCTGCAAGCGCATGCAAGACCACAACTGGCTTTTGCTCTTAATTCACTGACTTAATCCTATCCCCCACGATATTGCAACAACTGGTCACTGAACCGCTAAATATCCGAAAGATAAATCATATATCTTATATGCGTCCCTCTATCTAGCTAGGTTTTATCTAGAGAAGTTTGTGGTTCAATATCATAAGGTTTCGATGTAATTACCAACTTGGTTGCAGTCAAGCAAGCTTGATATTGGATTTAGGGTCAAATATACAGAAGGATCTAAAGAGCAATGTTAGTGCTAGGATCAGATAATAGAGATCTAGGATTGAAGAGTGGAAAGGACAATTTTCCTGGCTGCTAATAGTGAGAAAGCGTTAGAAAACTTCAGAATTATAACACTGAGTTTCTGAAAGAGAACATAAAAAGCTGGTCAACAAATTGCAGTCAGTATTCATGAACTAAACCACTGGGGTAACCGACTACTTCAACGTAGTAACTGTTAGTCTGAGGCAGATGCAGATAGTGAAGTACGGTTTGTTCATAAATGAGTGACTAGAAAATGGACTATGCCACCTCCAAACTTAAATATGTAGTGGATGTCACAGTTCAGGTTAATATTAACTGCCTGATACACCCCAAATCGGCTTAATCAGATTTTTTGACCAAGTAATTCTCACTTGTGTAAACAAAGTATGTTGTTTAGCGATACACATATAAACTACTTCTTATCAGAATCACGTATAAAGTGGTCGATATGTATTCTACCTATATACGCGAATTTCGAGTTTTGTATTACGACAACAGCTACGGTATTTCAAGAATATGCATAAATAGAATTTTTGAATATCACATAAGATCATAACGCATTCAAGTCTCTGACGTAAAGCTTAATGGCTGCAGTCTATACTGATGCCTGACACTATTTTCAAGGGTAACACTTGACAAGCTATACAGATCAAAAAATAATGTGGTAAAATAAGCAGTGGTTGAATTTCGATAGCAAAGGTTCTTTAGGGAGGAAACAAGTGGTTTTATTGCCGAATTCAAATAACATTTCTCTCTATAATTAAATTTACATTACATATTCCTTGAAATCTGTATATGTTTACCGCTATTCTTTTCATTGCAATACTGCAACTGCGTCATCTAAAACTCGGCATTTGAAAACCTGTCTAAGAAGCATACGCTTAGGGCGAGAAAGTAGGCAGTTTTGGCGGTTACAGTTGAAGAAACTTGTATTAAATTCATTTCTAAACAATAAGGCAACACCTTTCAAATAAAACTCCCGAAGTAGACTACTTGTCAAATATAAGAAAAAGTTTCCGTGCTGATAGATAAAGTAGTAATGACCAATTAACGTTAATAAACATTAGAAAGCTTGATGACGTTATTAAAGTTATCATGATACTCGAACCAATTATAAGTGGAGAAGAGGAGTTATTGAAGAATATTTCTCTGACCAACGCTTACAAAATACTGATATGTACAGAATATTAAACAGCGTATTTTAACATCAAGTTCGAATAGTCTTATTTACCACGAAATCCACCACGGCTAGGTCCACCAGGCATACTTCCACCACGGCCTGCACCTCCACGACCACGATTTGCAGGGGTGCTGCCTCCACGACCTAAAACCAAGTCCAAATAGGAAACATTGTCAACTAGAAGAAAGTCAGTCTCCACTAAAAGTTGAGGTTTTGACAAAAAAATGAGAACACTCGACAACCCATAGGGAAAGCTCCCTCAGCTCCTAAGAATAGGAAACCGGAACGGAATGTGACTGCCAAGATTCCAAAAATAAATCGAAAGCCAAAGTGGCATACTCTAATCTAGGTCACCTTCAGTGGCATCGTGACATTAGAACATCTGCAAAAAGTCGGGGACGACAGTTCTGCTCAATGTCTGATCTGCAACGACTCCTAGCTTAATGATACGGAGTGGAGTGGTGGAATGTGACGATCACTTCACTTGGGGAGTTGCATCAGTCCGAACAGGCTGGTTGCTAACGGAATCTCATCTCGGGTGCATATTCCGAACAGATGTTATACGCACGCTTAACTGACAGCTAACTTCGTACTCAAAAGCCACCAACTGCAACCCAGGGCGAATAGAGAAGATTGAAGCTGGATGAGAATAATAATCAATTAATTCAAAAACAGATGAGTATGTATAAACATGAGATATAACCTTGCCCGCTAATTGAGGCATTAATATAGTGAGAATAAGAATTAACCAACCAGCGAATTACATTACGAATGGGGGCAAGGAAAAAACTACTAGTCATGCTGTAAAAAATGTGTAAGGATGACAGGTTAGAAACGTTCAATTCAATAACAATGTTTTATGCAAACTGGGGCCTTCCAACACAGAAGGCCCGTTTAACACATGCCAACTTGCATCATCTATGCAGCCGACTGGCGAGATATCCTACTATCTATCGAATGATGAATATTCTGTACTGCAGCCCGTCCTGTCGTTGTACGGCTGAGACATAGCTGTTAAAAGTAGAAGACATGAAACGGTTGCAAGGTTTTGATCACAGTTGTCTTCGTATTGTTGCTCGCGTTCGGTAAAGTCACCGTGTGAGCAATGTTGAGGTCAAGCGAAGGATACTAGGTAAGTCGATTGATGAGGTTGTGAACCTCAGTTGACGGAGATTGCTTGGATATGTACGGGGCACGCCAAGCCACCACTGCCTCGACGTCCAATGTTAGGGGAAGTTGGATTAGGTTGGGAGGAGGTTCAGGGTGACCAGACCAAGACATGGCAACAGCTGATGAAGTCCCTGACTGTTGGTCTGAGTCGTGTGGGGAGATGCAGACTGTCTGGTTGGAGTTCCCGAGACGAAAGGAATTAGTGGTTGAGGAGTCTTGATGACATGTCTGAAAATCGGTCACAATGATGCATATGTATTCACCCCTTGACATCTTTTAAATCTTGAATATTTGCACTAACCGTTATCTTCAAATTGTTTGTTCTCTTATACAACTTTGTCTACTTTGGTATCACCATTTTTTTATTCACGTGTTCTTTGTTTACAAGTGAAAAGTGTGGCAACTTAAGCCCATGCACCTGTGCGAGTTTCTACGTTGATTTCGTCAGTCAGTCAGTCAGTCAGTCAGTGAGAAAAATGACTACCTAAAGAGTTGTGATGATCAGAAATGTGACTGTGCATTACGGTCATTGAATGTAACGGATATGAGAAGGCTGAGTGAAAATTTCAAACTTCGCCAAAAATTGTATGAAATGATAGATTATTGTTATTATGAAAAACTATAATCGTTCTGTTTCCAGCATGGTCCGTATGCTATAATCCTGTCACTACCTTAACGTAGAAGTCACAAGTAGAGCTTCAAGGAGAACAAGGTCAAGTGATGAAGTTGTGAAACCTCATCGACTTAGATGCGTGGTATACATGTTACACACTCCTAGTCACATCTTGTTGGGAAGCTGAAGTAGGTGCATACAGAAAAAAGTCAAAGGCAGACAAACTAAAAAAAATAGAGTTTAGGCTACACAGGAGTACGCAAACTTATGGGTTGAGGTATGCGTTAAAACTAAAATATGGGGTTGGAGACTCTAGCTGATATGCTCGGTGATCAACCTCAGTGATGAAGACTATCACAATTTTAAAGTCATTTTAGTCGACCTGCTGAAGTTAACCATTTTTTTCCATATCTTCCTTTCTACGTTCTACACGTCTTGATTATTGCTGCTGTTGCCTTCATGTTTTATCCTGCTGTTTCAGTTTGGTGTGAAGTGTGACAACTTAGAGCAATGTAGCAATGACACTTTCTTAGTGATACATCAAATAATCCATATAATAAAATGTGCTGGGTATGAACTGTTTAAACTGGCCTTTGGCTTTATTTCGATGGAATCCTCCTCTTCCTGTATCTGCGGACTGAGAACGACTGCGCATTTTCGCGAGCTGTAAATCCTCTTTAACCTTATCAATCACATCATCTGGAATCCGTAAATATTTGATAATACTCCCACGTATGTAACATTCTGGCATTTTCCAGAAACGATCTCCATCCTGCGAAAATAAGAAAAAAACTTTTTAGGATCGTTACCCTAGATGTGCAAATAACTTCTTTCAGATGAATGTTCATCCAGTCATCACAAGCGACAAGGTGACCATTGTATGTTTCACCACTTTTCAATTCAACAAGCTGAGTAACAATAGATACAAAGTATTTAAATTACCATTGGCAAGTTCGTTGCAGCTTTCAGAAGTGTAACGGGTAGCTACAGATGAGTATGAGTAAGAATGTAACAAACCATTGCGATGCTATATTTAGAACACCCCCTGCTTTCTCAAGGCCAAACGTGAGCCGCAAAATTCGAGTTGCACGCAGAAAAAACAATGGAATTGATGTTCTTCAAAACTACAACTCCAAACTACTTATCTACCTCTGTGCATCGTCCCACACTTCCACAAAATCAATAGCCTAGGGTTTGACGACTTTCGACATTGATGCTGACCTTGATGGTTTAACTGGACTCGCTAGGCTGAGGGCACCCGGTCAAGCATCCTCGCCATTTGGCACGCTGTCGTGTCACGTTGCACTGCTCGTATTCGACTCTCTAGCCAATTAGTTGGAACGCATCGGTATCTTGGCACGACCATCCAAATATACTACTCAATCCAACTACGCTATCGTGTTCTCTCTTGGTCTCGTGTTCGTGGGTACATAACAAGTCCGAATAATTGGTGATTGGTCTTTGCGTCTGTCAAGTTCGCACCAGGACAAATCCTAAATTGGTGAGCCGACGTGATCACATATCCCGACCGATAACAGATACTGAATTGGTGAGCCTGTTCCATTTTATATTTGTATATTGTTTTCATTTCGATAGCATTTATATATCCATTTACTACACTTTCTCATGTCCGACCACACTCCCAAGCTTATTCATATTAGGCCGACTACGAACACGATCCAACTCGTGCCATATTGGCCAGACAATGCGGAAACATGGTTTCTATATGCCGAGGCCGATTTTCGAGAACAGGGCCTCTCAGATCCTCACTCTCGATTTCTTGCTGACATACGGTCACTAATGTGCGGATAAAACAGGTAGGTTACAGCACATATCTTTAATCCTCAGGTAAGTGATCCTTATACACTTCTCAAGGCCGCACTCTTGGAGAAAAGCGATCTCATAGATCGCCAGCGCCTTGACGAATTACTTAGTAACATCGAGCCAGGCAGCCACTCAGCTACTGAAGTCCTCGCACGAATGCGAGAAGCAATCGGTGCATGAACATTCGACGATGGCCTTTTCCCGAGAACTATTCCTCTCAGAATTGCCACAAACGGTGCAAACCGTGTTGGTGACACTGCAGTCAGTCCCACTCAACGACCTGGCAGCCTTGGCAGATAAAGTACTGGAGATCTCTAGCAGACCCATCTCCAACGTATATTCTGTCTGCGACAAACCAGAGAGCCAGGATTCAGAGGTGACCAAGCTGTGCGGCTCTGTTAAACAGTTGCTACGATCTCGAAGTACTAGTTCACGTAGAACTCCACAGAAATGCGTCTTAGTGCATCGCAGCAACTCGGCGTGGTTGCCCCAAAACTAAACCTAACAGGGTGGAAAACTCGAAACGGTGCTGGTTTCATAGTGCTTACGGAGACGAAGCCAGAAAATGTCGGAAACCATGCAGTTTTAACAAGGACACAAACTCGGGAAACGGTCACGCCGGCACGTGTTCACGGCAACCGTAGCCGGTGGAAACAGCCGTTTGCCCTACGTCACGGATATTAAAACGACAGTCCGTTACTTCGTCGACACCGGCGCAGAAGTCAGCGTTTTTCCCGCACCGACAAAAGAGCGTCACCATGACCCATCCTTCAATCTCCAAGCAGCCAACGGCAAGGCAATCGCGACACTTGGGAGACGGTATGCTTACCTCAACTTAGGTTTACGTAAACCTATCCACTGGATTCTCCTCCTTGCTGACGTCTCTATGCCCACCATTGGCATAGACTCGCTAAACCATTAAGATTTACTCGTAGATGCTCGCTGTCGATGTCTGATTGATAACAACACAAAGCTTTCTATTGGCGGCACCACCTATGTAGGTCCGAGTTTAGCCCTCGTTAGAACCAAACAATCAGGCGACGCGTCCTGCCAGACATTGTTGGAGAAATATCCATTTTCCCAAAAATCTACTTGGTCAAAACGTACAACCAGATACCTATGGCAGCAGAAGATACCGCGAAAACAGCCATTATTACTCCTTCCAGTTTGTCGGAATTCCTGCGCATGCCATTTGGTCTTCGGAATGCAGCACAAACATTCCAACGCTTTATGGATGATGTCTTCCGTGGTTTGAATTTTGTTCATGTCTACATAGATGACTGTCTAATTGCGAGTCCAGATAAGGAAACTCACCTTAAACATTTGGACCTCGCATTCGAAAGACTTAAAAAACATGGCATCACAGTCAACTTACAGAAGTGTGAAATAGGAGTTGAATCACTCAGCTTCCTTGGGCATACCATTGACAACAAAGGTATACGCCCATTGAGAGATAAAGTGGCGGCTATCACAAACTATCCAGAGCCGACCACTGTGAAACATCTCCGCACTTTCAATGGCCTGGTAAGTTATTACCGAAGGTTTATCCCTAACTGTGCCTCTGTCATGAGACCACTCACAGATCTACTTCGAGGAACTACGAAGTTCGTGTCTCTGGACAACGCGGCTAGACTTGCTTTTTCTAAAGTCAAGGAAGCCATTTCGAACGCAACCATGCTTATGCATCATGACCCCAATGCTCCTTTGAGTATTGCTGTTGATGCATCTGATTCAGCAATTGGAGCAGTTTTGCAACAGTTGACTGACAACCAGTGGCAACCGTTAGCCTTTTTCTCGAGGCGGCTGCAAGACGCGGAAACAAGATACAGTACATTTGGTAGGGAACTCCTAGCCATGTACTGTTCTGTACGCCATTTTCGACATTCTGTGGAAGGTCGTGATTTCATTATTTTCACAGACCACAAACCGTTAACGTTTTCCCTCAGCTCGGCGTCTGACAAATACTCCCCGCGTGAGTCGCGACAGCTGGATTACATTTCCCAGTTCACGTCAGACATCCGCCACATTTCTGGAGCAAACAACTCCGCAGCCGACGCACTATCTCGAATAGCTTCGATAAACTATATCGGGGGTATTGATCTCGTTGAACTAGCTCGGCGTCAAAAGGAAGACCTTGAGCTGCATCATGAGTTGTCGTCCACAACTCTCAAACTGCGACTTTGTCCTGTTGGATCAGACAAGGATACAATTTTGTGCGATGTCTCTGCTAGTCAACCACGCCCAATAGTTCCGAAGAGTTGTCGACGCAACGTCTTCAATACGTTGCACAAACTCTCTCATCCAGGTGTACGAGCCACCATTAGGCTTATCGCACAACGTTTCTGCTGGCCTGGGATGAACAAAGACGTTAAGGAGTGGGCCAGTCGTGCTTAGCTTGTCAAAAGTGTAAAGTCACGCGACACACGAAAAGCCCTTTAGGCTCATTTCTAGCCCCAGACATGCGTTTCGACCACGTCCATATAGATATTGTAGGACCCCTACCAGAATCTAATGGATGTACCTACCTTTTCACTGTGTTGATCGTTTCACACGATGGCCGGAAGCAGTACCTATTAAGGATATTACTGCCGAAACAGTTGCTCGTGTTTTCGTCGAAAGATGGATCGCGAACTTCGGATGTCCATCTTACGTCACAACCGACCGTGGGCGCCAATTTGAGTGTGGATTATTTCACGCTCTAACGGCACTTTTAGGTTGCACTCGGTTCCGAACGACAGCCTACCATCCACAAGCAAATGGCATGGTAGAGCGTTTCCATCGACAGCTGAAAGCTTCCCTTTCAGCTACAAACATACCTCAGTGGACCGAGGCTCTGCCTCTAGTCCTACTAGGTATTCGTAACGCGTTGAAAGTTGATGCTGGATGCACTCCTGCAGAACTCGTCTATGGGACCACTCTTCGCCTACCAGGTGAGTTTGTTTCCCCTTCAACTTTCAAACATGTTTCCGACAGGGCATCTTACGTGACTAGGCTTACAAACGCAATGCGTTCAGTTAGGCCTTCTCCGATTAGACCGCAAACGACTGATGTTTTCGTTCACCCCAGTTTACAAAAGACATCACACGTGTTTATTCGCCACGACGCCGTTCGTCGACCACTTGAACCACCTTACGACGGGCCATTCAAAGTGATTCTACACAAGTGAGCGAGATGGACGTGAAGATGCTGTCAGTATCGACCGTTTGAAACCAGCTTATTTCGAAGACAAGTGACGTTTCAGCTCGCTACGGCCGACCGACAATAGCTCAGTCATCGAAATTCTTGACGATGTGCCTGGTAATGCACAGTAACAACAGCCATCGGCGCAACAGAAAACACGATCGGGTAGAACCATCAATTTCTTGGAGTATTTAAAGTCGTATTCAACTTGGCGGTGTGAAATAAAATATGCCAACCATATTTTTTACCTATAAATTTTTTACGAGACACTATTTTTCTTATTTACCGGCAATGCAAGACTCCTCGTACACTTTGCCTTTTATATCAATTTTTTTATTACCATGTAATGAAATTTTTAAAAAAACGGCGAAAATGGGCGTAAATTTTTATCTTCGATATGTTTATGTATGAATAATTCCCATTTTTACGAAACGTTTTCATGGTATCAAAGACCTTTATTTATATTTCAGGTGCAACGAGCACTGGACGGAACGTCAAAAGGAACTGAGGACCACGATCGACGTACAATTCGATTTATTGTATTTTATTATTTAATTGCCACGACACCCTAGAATAAGTTCAGACAACCAGGGGTCACTTCACGCAGTGAGCCCACCGGAAGAGTTTCACCAGTGGAGAAACCACTGGGTTTTTACTTCCGGCTGGTATCGTCTTAGGGTCCTCACCAACCCACTAGAGGGGGAGTGATCTGCAGCGTCATACACTTCCACAAAATCAATAGCCTAGGGTTTGACGACTTTCGACATTGATGCTGACCTTGATGGTTTAACTGGACTCGCTAGGCTGAGGGCACCCGGTCAAGCATCCTCGCCATTTGGCACGCTGTCGTGTCACGTTGCACTGCTCGTATTCGACTCTCTAGCCAGTTAGTTGGAACGCATCGGTATCTTGGCACGACCATCCAAATATACTACTCAATCCAACTACGCTATCGTGTTCTCTCTTGGTCTCGTGTTCGTGGGTACATAACAAGTCCGAATAATTGGTGATTGGTC